CGGGTTAAAGCCCTGGTCTGAAGTGCAGGCATCCCATATGGGTGCCAGTTCTAGTCCCCAGATGCTCCTCTTCCGATCTAGCTCTCTGCTATAGCCTGGAAAGTAGTGGCAGATGGCCCGAGTCCTTGGGCCCCTGCACCCATGTTGGAGACCTGGAAGAAACTCCTGGATCCTGGTTTTGGATCGGCACAGCTCCGTTCATTGCGGCAATCTGGGGAGTGAGCCAGCAGATGGAAGACCTCTCTGTCTCTACCTCTCTCTGTAACTCTCTTTCAACTAAATAAAATAAATCTTAAAAAAAAAAAAAAAAAAGAGTCACAGGGTTGTTTCCCTCTGAGGGTTCTGAAAAAAAATCTCCATTCTTCGCTCCTACTTTGTGGTAGCCTCAAGCCTTCCTTGACTTGTAGATAGCATTTTCTCTGCATCTTCACGATATCTCCCTCTGTGTATGCCTGTTATTGTGTTCAAATTTTCCATTCTCAAAAGGACATGATCCTAACTGCAAAAATGCTGTTTCAAAATATGCTCACATTTTAGGTACTTGGGGTTAGGACTTCCACATTTTTTACAGGTACACAATTTAACCCATAATGCTGGATCTAAAAGAATCAATTTCACGAGTACAGGTGAGAAAACTTGGCTTAAAGGCAGTTCATACAAGAAAAAGGGGGGGAGGGGGAACTAGCTGACAAAACAAAAGCCCTAATTTTGTCACAGTCTTAACATAAATTAATAATTTAAGAAGACTGCTTTGGGGAAAAAATGAATGCTGTCTTCCATTGCCTTAATAGAGTCAGTTCAAAAAAGGGCATAGCCACATGTCTCTCACCTGTCAGATTTCATGTGGCACTTCTTAATCTGTTCAGATGTAGGAGGTACTGATGAAGTAAAATGAATTCATAGTAGCACCATGGTGAGCCTGAAAACCAAGCTAAAGTAAATGGAGATGCCAAAGACTAATGATGACAGAACTGTCTTCAAAGTATTTATCTTTTAAATCCTTCATACTACTCTTAAAATGGTATGGGTGTGTTTTTGAATGAATTACAAAGCTTAAATTGTCTAGGTACAAGAATTAGACTAAAAACACGATAAAAGCAGGTAACGTTAAGACCAGAAGAACTTTGTAAAATTTAGAATTTAGAGAATTTTAACAATAAACAATAGAAATTTCTGACCATTGGAAACAGCCTACCCAAATGTAATGAATTCTGTTCTGCCAGTAAATACGCAGAAGCTGGGAAAGCCTTCATTAAGCATGCTAACATTAGGTGGGAGATTGCACTAACTCAGTGTTCCCAGCTTTATTTTTACTTTCCAGCATTTTCATAAAAAGATATGCTAATTTAACCTTTTAAGAAATTTTCTAAAAATAACTTCACTTTTTTCCCAAAGCCTAGATGATAAATATGTGATTTTAGATAGAAAAATGTTGAGAATGTTATTAGTAAATACTACATGAAGAGGCTGATTTCAATATAATCTTTACTAATAATTCTAATATGAGAAATGTTTAGTGTTTTCCAACTGACATATGAAGAATTTTGTCTGAGTTGTTTAAATTCTTTAAATGATTAGAAGAAATATCATTTTTTCAGTCAATTTAAAAATGACATCATGTTCCATTTTAAGATAGAATATAGAGGGCCTAAATGAGAAACATGAGTGTACTCATTAACTCCAAAAATATGTATGTTCCTAACCTTTCATAATTTTATAACAGATTCTATGTTGTCAGATATATCCAGGTAATTTTGAGATTTATTTTTTAGGGGAGGTAGCAAATATATTGCAAATATTAAGTTTTCCCACATAGAACACTATTATGCAATTATAGAGGCTTCCCTAGCATTCAAGCTTTTATAACTTATTAGGTGCTTTTAGCTTATACAAACAGGAAAAAGAAGAAATGAGATGTTTGAAATTCTTAAATTCATATTTTAGTGATTTACTTAAATCACTGTCTTGTTTCTAACTGAAAACATATGAGATATTTCAAGCTGCTGCTTTTCCATAAATTAACACGTAAAGGTATTTACAAATAACTTTTATTCTCGGTAAATGAAAAACAAACCTTAATATAACTTTACAGAATTTCAAACAGATGAATTCAACATACAGATGTGAAGTTTGTTTTTTAAGCTTAATTTTCACATTATTCTAATTTTTAATTTCTAATTTTGTAGATGTACTTCAGCATTGGTGCTACCTAAGCTTCCTGTCTGTGTGCAATTCATTATTAAAATTAATTTAAATAAATATGTGTATATATAAATGCATATATGTATATATACATATCCATATAAATATACATATGAGGGCACCTCAAGAATTTGTAAAAATATGCATTATCTTTGAATTCTATTTTCCATGAATGTTTTGAAGTACTCTTGAATAGTTTAATTCCCATATATATGACTAAGGTTACATATTTCTTAAACTGTATACTGGTGAAAACTATCATGAAATCTAAAATTTTGAGGTTGTTTTAAATAAATTGATGCCAGATACTTAGAAAGATTGTGATGAAACAAATCTTAAAATTTAAATGAATTTAGAAGCACCAAACTCTTCAGAAATCAGCAGATAACATTATGCTATTTCAAAAAGAAAGGAAAGTAAACCTGTGGAGAAATAGCTACTCCAAATATCTGAAGGAAAAACTGGTACCTCAGCGAAGAACAATTCAATGAAAAATACAAACATACTCTTTAAAAAAGTATTTGTTGATTTATTTATTTATTTGAAATGTAGAGTGACAGACAGACAAACAGAGAAAGAGATCCTCTATCCATTGGTACATTCCCCAAATAGCTACAATGGCCAGGGCTGCACCAGTGTGAAGCCAGGAGCCTGGAACTCCATCTGGGTCTAGCATGTGGATGGCAAGTGCCCAAGCACTCGGGCAATCTGCTGCTGCTTCCCCAGGCACATTAGCAGTAACATGGATCAGAAGTAGAGCAGCAAGACTCGAAATGGCATTCGTATGGGAAAAAGGCATCATAAGCTGCTGCTTACCCCACTGCACCACAAAGCCAGTCCCCAACATAGTCTTTAATACGTAGAAATTCACACGGTGTGTAGCAGGCAAAGCCTCTGTCATTGATGCTGGCATCCCATATGGGCTCTGGATTGAGTCCCTGCTCCTCTCCCAATTCGGCTCCTTGCCAATGACGTAGAAAAGCATCAGAGGGGTCAGAGCTGTGGCACAGCGGGTAAAGCCGCTGCCTGCAGTTCTGGACACCGGTTTGAGTCCCTGCTGCTCCACTTCAGATCCAGTTCTCTGCAATGTCCTGGGAAAGCAGCAGAAGACGGCCCAAGGCCTTGGACCCCTGCACCTACATGGGAGACCTGAAAGAAGCTCCTGGCTCCAGGCTTCAGATTAGCCCAGCTCCAGCCATTGTGGTCATTTGGTGAGTGAGCCAGCAGATGGAAGACCTCTCTCTCTCTCTCTGCCTCTCTTTCTCTCTCTGTATGACTCTGACTTTCAAATAAGTAAATAAATCTTGAAAAGAAGAGAAGAGAAGAGAAGAGAAGAGAAGAGAAGAGAAGAGAAGAGAAGAGAAGAGAAGAGAAGAGAAGAGCATCAGAACATGGCCTAAATGCTTGAGCCACTGTGACCCACACGGGAGCCCCAGATGAGGCTCCGATGAGGCTCCTGGCTCTTGGCTCCCTTCTGGCCCAGCCCTGAACAATGTGGCTACCTGGGGAGTGACCTAGCAGATGCAGGATCTTTCTCAGTGACTCCTTCAAACAAACAAATAAATCTTTTTTTAAAAATGTAGAAAATCACCTTTAGAAATATGTAAACATAATTTCACATGCATGAAATAACATAAGCTAAGATTATTTATTGCAGCATTATTTGCAATAGCAAGTGTGTGAAAACAATTCCAGTGTTCATCAATTTGGGATAAATTGTGAAGTCTCTACCATCCTTTAGAAAAACCTTTTTTTTTTAAAAAAGATTTATTGTATTTATTTGAAAGACTGAGTTATAGAGAGAGGTAGAGACAGAGAGAGAGAGGTCTTCCATCTGCTGCTTCACTCTCCAAATGGCCTCAACAGCTGGAACTGAGCCCATCTGAAGCCAGGAACTTCTTCCAGGTCCCCCACATGGGTGCAGGGACCCGAGAACTTGGGCCATCCTCTTCCCAGGCACATTAGCAGGGTGCTGGATGGGAAGTGCAGTAGTTGGGACTTGAACCAGCACCTATATGGGATGTCAGCGCTGCAGGCCGGGGTTTTAACCTACTGTGCCATAGCGCTGGCCCCATCTATCATCCTTTATAAAATGAAAAAGGGGGGACAGCATTGTGGTATAGTGGGTACAACCGCCACTTGCAGCACTGGCATCCCATATAGGCACTGTTTCGAGACCTGGCTGCTCCATATCTGATCCAGCTCCCTGCTAATGCACCTGGGAAAGCAGCAGTATTTGGCCCAAGATACTGCCACACAGTTTGCTCCTGCAACCACGTGAGGCACCGGGATGAAACTCCTGGTTCCTGGCTTCAGTCAGAGCCCAGCCCTGGCCCTTGCAGGCATCTAACCAGTAGATGGAAGCCTCTCTCTCTCTCTTTCTCTCCCCCCCCCCTCTCTCTCTTTCTCTCTCTCTCTGCCTCTACCTCACCCTCTCTATAACTCTGACTTTTAAATAAATAAATATTTTTTAAAATGAAAAAGGATGAGGAGGTTTTTAAATGCATTCCCATGGAAAGATATTCAAAATATATTGTTAAGCAAAAAGAACAAGCAAAATGAACAGTGTTACACCAATTATAACTAATTATATAAAAGTGAGAGGCATTTTATACAAACATGTTTATTTTATACTTAAACTTATTAACATTTTACTGAGGTATAAAATATATTTATATTTTTATTGAATATAATAAATGTACAGCAAAGTACACCTTGGTGTGTAACTTCCAAGAATTTTCATGAACCGAACACAATCATGCAACTAGCAGCTGGAGTTTAGAACCTAGAATGAGAAGCAGAACATTATTTCAACCCAGAAACCTCTCCAAATTCCTCCTAGTCACCACTTCCTCCCTACAAAAGCCACAATCCTAATTTCCGAAAGTCTATTTTTGTACTTAATGTAAATGAACTCAAACAGTACACAATCTTCTGTATTTGGCCTTCTGCATCCAACATTGTATTTGTGTACTTCATCAATCTTGTACATGGTTCAGTTGCATTGTTATTTAGTATTCTGTTGCATAAATGTGCCACAACTGAATCCATTATTTGTAGACACTTGCGTAATTTCTACTTTAAGACTATTAAAACTAGCACTGCTATAAACATTCTAGAATGTGCACAACATGTCCACATACCTAATTGAGGAACTGCTGGGTCACACAGTCTGTGTGTCTGCAATTTTAACAGATACTGCCACACAGTTTGCAAAATCAGTCGGACCCATTGGCATTGCCCATTAGTAATGTATGAGAGTTCTACCTGCTCCAAATCCTCACCCATACTGGGAATATTCTGTCATTAGTATTTGGACAATCGTGTTGCCTGGTGGATTTAATGTGTAAATCCTTGAGAATTAATGTCACCTTTTCTCCTTTGCCTTTTAGATCCTCTCCTTTGTGAAGTATCTAAGTCCTCTGCCCAGTATTGCATTGGATTATATGAATTTATAGTTTTAAATTTCAAACTTGGTGTATATATTTTTTAAAGTAAACTTAAAAGCAATCTAACTGAAAAGACAAATAAACTATACAGTTCTGTGCTTTTCCCTAGAGATTTATATTAGTATTTTAGATGCCCTGAAAAATTCTACACATTTTAACACCATACATGATTAGAGGAATTCTATTTTCTTTCTTGTATATAGGAAATATTTTTTCAAGAAATTAATAACAATTATCATAACAGATTTTTAAAACAACTCTAATTTTTCATGCATTTCATTAGATCTATCAAATATCTATAAATATAATTTCTGAATTATGCAAGTTATATATCTTTTAGGGTTATTAAAATTATATAATCTTATTATTTTTAAAAGATTTATCCATTTATTTGAAAGTCAGAGTTACACAGAGAAGGAGAGGCAGAGAGAGGTCTTCCATCCGCTGGTTCACTCCCCTGATAGCTGCAACGATCTGAAGCCAGGAGTCAGGAGCTTCTTCCAGGTCTCCCACGCAGGGGTCCAAGGTCCTGAGCCATCTTCCACTGCCCTCCCAGGCCACAGCAGAGAGCTGGATCGGAAGTGCAGCAACCGAGACTTGAACCAGAGTCCATATGCAATTATTTTAATTAAAGTTTTTTCTCTTGAAGCCTGCCATCTCTCTGCTGCAATGAAAACATCTGCTACATGTCTCTTGTCCTGGGTTTCCCTTCACATTTTTCTGGTCTTTATTCCTTGCCCTTCTCTTTCTTGGCTTACTCATGTGTTCTGTTGAAGCACTAGTAGTTTTCTTTTTTTTTTTTTTTTGACAGGCAGAGTGGACAGTGAGAGAGAGAGAGACAGAGAGAAAGGTCTTCCTTTTACCGTTGGTTCACCTTCCAATGGCCGCTGCGGCCGGCGCACTGCACTGATCCGAAGGCAGGAGCCAGGTGCTTCTCCTAGTCTCCCATGCAGGTGCAGGGCCCAAGCACCTGGGCCATCCTCCACTGCACTGCCCGGCCACAGCAGAGAGCTGGCCTGGAAGAGGGGCAACTAGGACAGAATCTGGCGCCCCGACCAGGACTAGAACCCAGTGTGCCGGCGCCGTGGCTCAATAGGCTAATCCTCTGCCTGCCAGTAGTTTTCTTAAAAATAAAAATAAAATGTGGAGGTTACCATTTAGGCTAGTGGTTGATACCTGTGTCCCACATGGGAATACCTGGGTTAGATTTCCAGCTCTGGCTCCTGACTCCAGGTTTCTGCTAATTCAGTCCCTGGGAGGCAATGATGATGGCTCAAATGACTGGGTCCTTGCCACCCATGTGGAAGACCTGACTTGAATTCTGGGCTCCTGAATCAGTCGCTAGCCTGGCCAGGGCAAGATGTGGGTATTCGGGAAGTGAACTAGCAGATAGCATGTGCTTTCTCAATCTTTTCATTTCTTGCCTCTCAAATAAAAAAATTCAAATAAAGTGAATGAAAAGTGTTTGCTTCTTTGTACCCATATTTGTAAAAATGCTTTTAGTCTGCTCTTAGAGTTGATAGATAATTTGATGGACTACAGAATTCTAGTTTGGAAGTTACCATTCTTCAGAACTGTGAAGAAACTTCACTTCATTGTTTTAGAAGATGAGTTTTATTGTTAAGAAATCCAGTGCCACACCACTGCTTTTCCTTTTCCACAGTCCTTTGTGCTCTTCCTTTTCAACTGAGTCCTGTAGGATGGTTCCTCAGTGGATAGCTCAAGATGGGCTCTTTTGCCACTCAGCAAGTGTTGACCTGATAATACACTATCAAAACTCAAAAATGCATCCATGCCGGCGCCGTGGCTCAATAGGCTAATCCTCTGCCTAGCGGCGCCAGCACACAAGGTTCTAGTCCCGGTTAGGGCACCGGATTTTGTCCCGGCCAGCTCTCTGGGAGTGCAGTGGAGGATGGCCCAAGTGTTTGGGCCCTGCACCCCATGGGAGACCAGGAGAAGCACCTGGCTCCTGCCTTCAGATCAGCACAGTGCGCCGGCTGCAGCGCGCCAGCCGCAGAGGCCATTGGAGGGTGAACCAATGGCAAAGGAAGACCTTTCTCTCTGTCTCTCTCTCTCTCTCTCTCACTGTCCACTCTGCCTGTCAAAAATAAATAAATAAATTTATTTATTTATTTATTTAATATGCATCCATGGTACAGGCTTCAAGAGATTGCTCAAGGGCAAAGAAATTTGGGAACTTGCCATGAAGGAAATACAAACTGCAGATGTGAGCCTTGAAACCAGGCTTAACAAAGATATTAGGGCCAGAGAAATAAAGATTGTCCCATACTGTGTCCATGTGAGATTGCCCAGAAAACAAAATGAGGATGAAGACTGACTAAACAAGCTCTATCTTTGATTACCTATGTACCTGTCACTGCTTTCAAAAATCTAGTTAATGCGAGTAAGCACAGGTTATCAAAGAAAGTTATAAGCGGCCAGTGACGTAGCATGGCAAATAAAGCTGCCACCAGCGACGAAGGCATCATATCCCGCTGTTCCACTTCTGATCCAGTTCCCTGCTAATGCTAATGAAAAGCATAAGATGACCCAGGCATTCGGGCCCCTTCACCCACATGGGAGATGCGGATGAAGCTCTGACTTCAGCCTAGATCAGCACTGGCCATTGCAGCCATCTGGGGAATGAACCAGTAGGTGGAAAATCTCTCTTTCTCTGTCTCCCTCTCTTTCTGTAGCTCTGGTTTTCCAGAGAGAGAGAAAAGAAAAAAGTTCTAAGACCAAACAGTGTCATTCTAATCCCCATCCTTTATTTTTATGTAACCCCTCGGAAGACTTTTAGTATGTTAGTGCTCTCACCTCTTTTCAGGATGTGCTTTAACACAGGCCTTTTTTAGTTTGTGATTTCTTTAAATGTGGATACTCCCGTCCTTCACTCCTAGAAAAGTTTTTTGAAGTACTACTTCGATCATTTCCTCCCCTTTTTGTTTGTTTTGTCATGTTTGTCGTTCTGGAATTCTTAGTTTCTTGACTGACTGGATGAATAAATGGAAAACTTTCCTGAGCATTTTTTGTAGCATAAAGCTTATTAAGCAATAAAGCACAGACTGTCAAACCACATCTTTAAAAACTATTATAAATTATCAAAATTTTAAACACATTATTTGTTGAGAACTTCCCCCTATTGTAAAATGTAACGCTACTACTCTCATTTCAGGCAATTCATAAATACAAGAATCATTAGTTCTCTGTAAGCAGAAATCCTTTACTCAAGTTAGGCATTCCTTATTACTGCTGCCCTAGAATTCGTTAAAGAACTAGTCTGGGTTACCAGTATATATGATATTGCACTCACCCTACAGAACAGTCATTTAGGGGGAAAGGTGTTTGTTGAGGGTAGAAAGGCTGGAAGATGTTTGCAGTCTTTTTTATTAAACACTGAGGGCATTCCGCTAAGATCTATAAGGAAGAAATCTTTGCAACAGTCCCTGGAGTTAGAGAGATGGACTCTCGGGGTTATTTTCAATCTCTGTATGTATTTAGGGAACTAAGAAGAGCGGGAGAAACCAGATCTCCAGTATTGGAACAAGTGGCAGCTAAGCACCTGCACTTGTTCCACTATAAAAGGGTCTATCATCCACTCCACACTCCTAATGTGGCTGTAAACTAGAGAGGATTGAAGTCCCGGTACACAGATGAACTCACAGCCCCATACAGCCAGAAGCACTGGAAGACAACACGCCCCCTCCACCCACAACAGGGCCCTTCCCGCGCAGGCGCAGAGTCTGGAGCGCCCCTCCCCCGAGCCAAAATAAGCCCACCCTCCCAGCCCCCAACCCCGCACAGTGCTTCTGGTGTTCGACGACTCGCAGAATCCTCGGTGCGCGGGCCCGCTGCCCAAGCCTATCCTGGTCAGCCGGCCGCTGAGAGGGACTTTCCCAAAAGGAAAACTTTCCCAAAAGGAAAACTTTCCCAAAGCCGGATGGGGGATGGGGAGGAGGACTGAAGATAAAAGGGGCGCCCTGGCTGCCTGTCCAGTCCCTTGACCGGTAGCCTCAGCCCCTGGGTGTCGCACAGATCGTCGGGGACCGCGCGACGCGGGTGCAGCACCCCGGCCGCAGGAGGCAGGGTCGCCAGCGAGCCGCCCGTCTCTTTCCTCAGCGCTGCCACTGACGTCGTCTGAGAAGCTGCTGAGGGAGGAGCCCCGACGGCCAGGCTGGGGCGGCGGCGGCGCGCGCGGGCCACGGCCAGGTCCGCCAGAGGAAGCTCCTCCTCGGCGCGACGCGGCGCCGCTGACTCGACCCACTCTGCACAGGAGACGAGGCCGCTCCGGCTCGAGCAAAGCCAGCGTCTGGCCTTGGCCGCCCTGGGAATGGCCGGCCTCGATACCTAGCGCCCGCGACAGGGAGGGCCTCGCCGGCTTCCCGCCTTCACGCTTGCATCTGGACGACTGAGGCTCCCTGAGAACCGCTGGCACACCCGAAACCGGCCGGCGGCCTGAGCGCCCGCGCCGCCCGTGACCATGAACGAGGACGCCATCTGCAGCGCCCTGCCCACCATCCCCTACCACAAACTCGCCGACCTGCGCTACCTGAGCCGCGGCGCCTCCGGCACGGTGTCGTCGGCCCGCCACGCCGACTGGCGCGTTCAGGTGGCGGTGAAGCATCTGCACATCCACACCCCGCTGCTCGACAGGTAGGGCGCCGGCGCCTCCACGCAAAGCCCGCAGCCCTGCTGCGTGCCCGCCCCCGACGCGGCGCAAGAGGGTTCTAGATCCAGAAGGGCAGTGAGCGCCTGGGGTCCGTCCCTGCCCTCGTCACCTCTAGGCAGTCTGCGTGGGGAGAACCGGCTTCTCCGGAGGTGCTAATGCGTTCCTCCATGGTTTCGTCTCTCTCCTCTCCTCTTACTCTCCCCAGGGTTTCCTCTCCCCATACTCCCAAAATCAGCATTTTCAGCCCAACTGTAAAAGCCCTGTTTCCTGTAGTGGATGTGGGTTTTGTTTCCTTTGTTTTTCTGCCCGAAATTGGGCTACGGGGCTGTCTAATAAGTAATTCTCATCCATCCACAGGTGGCTGTTAAACACTTTTAAGTGTGACCCCCTGTGAATTGAAGTGTGCTGTAAGATACACACTGGAATTCGAACACTTAGAAAATCAAGAACAAAAACCTTATGATTTATGTACCATTCATATTTCCATATTGGTTGAATGATGATAAAATTTTGACACATTGGGCTAAATATAATCTATTGTTAAAGTTCATTTCACATGTTCCTTTTTACTTGTTTTGTAATGTGGCTACTAGAAAATTTTTAATTGTATGCGTGGTTCACATTATATTTTCATTTGACAGTGCTGCTCTAGAGTTTGTGATGCTTGAGTTTTGGTTTTGCTGGTTTTGTTTTGTTTGTGGTTTATTAAGTGTAGTAATGAAAGTTCGAATATCAAACTCAACAACCAATTCAGTTTCTTCCTCTCTCATAGGAAAGACTGCCCCCAGAGGAAATGTGTATTATTTTTGCTAACAATAAATTGAACTAGAAGACTTGTAAGTGGCCAAAAATTATGAATCTCTCACATCGTGGAACATTTTTAGTGCAGTGTTCGAGTTTTAAAGGAAGGCAGCATTAATTTCTGTTTTGTTTCCAGAAAAACATTACAACCATATACTGCAGACTTGTAACTGATGTATTGGTTAGTGAGTCCAGTTACTATTCTGTGCATTTTCCTTTCAGCAAGGATATAACTAGGCCTCCTATTTACTTAGTTAACACCCAGGAGTGCAACTTTCTCTGTCCCCCCATCTCTAATTTGAAAATACATCATCTAATACATTTTGGAGTGTCCCTATCAGATAATTTCTCAGCTTCAATCCTGTCAAATTATTGGACTTTGGTCTGCCTCTGGCTTTTCTTTGCTGTCTCTCACAATCAAGCTGAAGTTAGCTAGATCCCAGAGGAGATTCCGGATTTCTCTAGAGATGCCTGCCACTTTTGCATTCAAGGTTCAGTAAAATACAGGATGTGGTGTCTTTACCCTGCACCTTTTATTCTATGCAGCAAGTGCTGAACTAGTGTGTGTGAAGTTTAAAGGATGGTTGTTGGTTAAAGTAGATGAATATATTTTAGAACTAACTGTGTAACTATAGCACTGATAGACTCACTGCACACCTTAAAGCTAGATGATCCTCCGATTTTGGATGCTACTTTCTCAAGATTTTAATTTATTTCAGCCTTATGACATTTAGGGGCCAATGAGTGAAGAAGGAGTTCCCTTCCCATACTCCTTTACACTTTTCCATACTCCTTTACACTTTTCATTGTCTAAATTGGGTAGAAAATGAGCCTCAAGGAACCATCCTACCAGTGGAACATTATGCATTACCATCTCATTCTTTTTACCCACCTGTAAACTAAAAGTGTTATGTAGATTTATGTAGTCTGGGTATAGGGCTAGGCCGTGCACTTGACTCACAGTGTGTCTGTGCATGTCCTTCTTGGGCTCTGGTATAGACAGTGTTTGCATTGTTCTTTGGGATCACCTGAAAGAAAAATAAATTCATGTGATGATGTTACATGCCCTTATTTTTGTGAATGGTGAGTCACCATCCATAACGTGACTTCTCTTCGTGTACCTCCCCCTTCCTCTTACGAGATTGATTGTTCAAATACCCTATGTCATAACTTTTTTGATTGAAATTATGTGTTGAGTGAGTTTGTTGATATGTTCATAGAAGATGTATTTCATACTTTAGGTTTTTTTTAATGTAAAAGCCTATCTTTACAATCTTTTGGCTCTGTTTTCCCACTTAATCATGTCAGAATCTAAGAACCTTCCTACTTCTCTGATTAGAAAGAACTTAGGCCTTTATTGTCCCATGGTTGCAATTCAAATCTGACCAAAATTCTGCCACTTTCTGGTGTGGTCATTAGAAATTGTTTTTCGGGGGACTAGCAGTGTGGTGTAGTGGATAAAGCTGCCCCTTGTGAGGTTGGCTTCCTATATGGGTGCCAGTTTGTGTCCTGGCTGCTCTACTTCTGATCCAGCTCTGTGCTAATGGCCTGGGAAAAGCAGCAGAAGATGGCCCAAGTGTTTGGGCCCCTGAAACCCATGTGGGAGACCCAGATAAAGCTCCTGGCTCCTGACCTGGGCTTGGCCCAGTGCTGGCTGTTGATGCCATTTGGGGAGTGAAACAGCGGATGGAATACCACCCCCCCAACTCTGTCACTCCCTCTCTCTCTTTCAAAATAAATAAATATATATTTTTTCTTTAAAATTATTTTTCTGAGCCTCAGTGCCCTCACAGCAAAGATAATGATACCCCTTAGAGGGTTGATCATAGGATGATAGTGCATGTAAAGTGTCTGACACACGACAGGGTCATAATAGAAGAAAGAATGTCTCATGCCCTTAATGGGAGGAGGAAGGTGCACACTAAGTTTCACTGAGACTTCCTTAGCATGTCCTTTTTTTTTTTTTTTTTTTTTTTTTTTTTTTTTTTTTTTTGACAGGCAGAGTGGACAGTGAGAGAGAAAGACAGAGAAAGGTCGTCCTTTGCCGTTGGTTCACCCTCCAATGGCTGCCGCAGCCGGCATGCTATGGCCAGCGCACCGCGCTGATCCGATGACAGGAGCCAGGTGCTTCTCCTGGTCTCCCATGGGGTGCAGGGCCCAAGCACTTGGGCCATCCTCCACTGTACTCCCCGGCCACAGCAGAGAGCTGGCCTGGAAGAGGGGCAACCGGGACAGAATCCGGCGCCCCGACCAGGACTAGAACCCGGTGTGCCGGTGCCGCAAGGCGGAGGATTAGCCTAGTGAGCTGCGGCACCGACCAGCATGTCCTCTTTATACTTCTTTCCAATATCTGGGAATCTTCAGTTTCATACTCTGCATCTCCCTGTAAAACTGTAATTCCTGCCCACCCCCACTGAGGCAAATGCAGAATTGTTCCAATTTAATGAGTGTAAGTTTAATTATGAATGCGTTTGATAGTGGCCTCCAGCTTATGATTTCTTATACCTGCTATTGCACACATTGGGAGGTAGTAGTGATGGCTCAAGTGATTACATTTCTGCCCTCCTTGTGGGAGACCTGGGTTGAGTTACTGATCCTGGCTGTTGTTGTCATTTGGGGAATGAACTTGTGGATGGGAAGAACGCTAGAGCTCTCTCTGTCTCTTATCTGTCTCTCTGCCTCTCAAATAAATAGATCTCACAAACTGGTATATTTAATTTCCTCACAGTTGGAGTTGGAGGACAGGTAGAAGGAGAGAAGCTTTTCACTTTGTGCCCTATAACTCTTGAATTTTGAAACATGTAATATCTATTCAAACATACTTGACCAAGATATATTGTTTTTTGCTTGGTTTCACTTTTCTCTGTTTTTAAAGCAGGCCTCAAAGTCTGATTTGTTTGGTGCTGTTTGTATTTCAACAGCCATTCATCTAGACCCTGGGTTGTTTAAGAGTCAACTTTCAGTTGCCTAATAGGCATGTCCTGGAAACCCTTCTATTTCTGTTACTGCTACCAACAACACCCAGTCATCCAGGGTAAAACCTGATGACATCTTCAATTCCATTTTTGTTTATTCCCCATGATCAATCAGTCATCATGACCTGCATGTTCTACTCAAGTGCTTTTCTTTCTATTTCCATTGTTGTTGTTCTAGTTTTAGGCTCCCATTGCTTAACATCTTAACTATATTGAAATCTGCTAACGACTAACTTTCAGACTCTACATCTTTTTGCTGATCTGGCATCCTGCTTCCAGGTGAATCATGCTAAAATTTTCTTTTACATACGTTATTCTCCTGCTCAGAAATCTCTATTCACAACTCAGTGACTACCAAACAAATTGATACTACCCTAATCTGGCTTTAATTCTCAGAAATGTGTCCTAGCCTATCCTGTTTCCCTTCACTCCTTTTGTATACACTGTTACATATCCTGCTCCATATTAAATAATTCACAGTTTCACAAATTAGTGTTCATTTTAATGTCCTTAAATGCATCTTATACTGTCCATTGGACATCTACTTTGTTAACATGAGTTATGCATGTGGGGAGCAACCTGGACTGGACTGAGTTACTGGAATTAAGACTTATTCTATGCATCTGCTCTCCCACAATATGGCACTGGGAGAGGAGGCAACAGCTTCTACCCAGCTGCCTCTCACCAACTTGACAAGCTGCAGGACCTGCTCCTGATTGGAGGAGAGCAGCGTACTCGGCGTGTGGGCAGCCGAGTTGGGATTGGCGGAAGAGGACTATAAAGGAGGAGAGAGACGGCATGCACCAGGAACATCTAAGGGGAACATCTAAGGGGAACACCTGTGCAGCCCCCGAGAGAGCCGGCCGGCGGTGTGCCGCTCCCCCGCGGAAGTGGGGAATGTGGCAGGGGGAACCGCCCTTCCACGGAGGTGGAAGGGTCGGTAGCCAACCCGGGAAGAACCAGCAGCAAACCCGGGGAGGGCCGAGCAGACGAAAGAACAGCGCAGGGTCCTGTGTCGTTCCTCCACGAAGAGGGGGAGCGACATAATGGTGCGGTGACTCGGATATGAAGCCTAGGCAGGGCTTAGTGTCGTTCCCCCATGAAGACGGGGAGTGACATAATGGTGCCGTGACTCGGATAGGAAACCTAAGAGGGAAGAAACGGGAAGAAGTGGAAAATATCGGAGAGAGAGACTAGCAAACAGCCTAGGGAAAAGCCGGACGAAAAAGGTGCCGGAAGAAGCTATTGAAAGCCTAGGCATAGACTCAGATACGGACTACGGGGGGAAGCTGGGAGAAATCTCTAAGGTCGAAAGCGAAAGTGAAAGCTAGAACAAACAGACTCGGATGCAGACTGTGGGGAGAGGCCAGGAGAAATGAGGGAGGAGTATTGTTGGAGGAAAGCTTGGGGAAACATACCTGGTAGAGAAAAATGTTAGGGAAATTGAAGCCGCGGGGGGCAGGCCGAGGCGGAGACGAAAGCCACTTTGGGATTCGTCGAGTTAGCCTGGGAATAAGGGGCGAAAAGTTAAAACCAGAAGTGGAAACGTAAGCCAGGTTGGAATCCGTCTGATTAGCCCGGGGAGCAAAGGACGGGAAGCCAAATCGTGGGGCGGAAACGTGAGCTGGGTTGAATTCACCAGGTTAGCCCGGGGAACTTAGATTGAATACTAGTGGCGGAGACGTGAGCTGGGGCTGTGTGACTCGCGGAGGCTGCCGCGCGCAGAGAGAGCATGCGGGGCACAAGTAGATAGGGAATGCTGGGCTAGTGCGAGACCGCGGAGTGTGCACGCGAAGCCGAGCCGCGCAGAGCCGGGAAGCCGCGCAGATGAGAGAGGCGCGGGCTGAAGCGGCTCAGAGCCGTGAAGCTGCCGCAGGGCGAGGTGCCGAGAAGCAGCCCCAGGGCAGGCGCCGGGAAGCCGCAGGGATAAGAGAAACAGAAGTTTAGAAGTAAAATGAGAGAAATAGGAATGCTGGCAGATAGAAGTAAAATGGGAGAAATAGGAATGCCCGGATAGAGAAATAGGGAAAGGCCTCCCCACAACACAGCAATGAGAGAGCTTGGATTCGGTCTGCCTGATTAGTGAGGCGATGAGCACCTGCAGGCAGCTAGCAGCTTATGCACCGCAGGTCACCGAAGACAGGCACGAATTAACATCAATAAGGCCTCCCCACAACACCGCAATGAGAAGGCTTGGATTCGGTCTGCCTGATTAGTAAGGCGGTAAGCACCAACAGGCGGCTCGACCAGAGTATGAGCTGCAGGTCACCGAAGACAGGCACGAATTAACATCAATAAGTCTCCCCACAATACCTTGGATTCGGTCTGCCTGATTAGGGCGATAAGCACCAGCAGGCAGCTCGACCAGAGTATGAGCTGCAGGTCACCGAAGATAGGCACGAATCAACACCAATAAGCCTCCCCACAATATGGCAATGAGAAGGCTTGGATTCGGTTTGCCTGATAGGGCTTGTAAGCACCTGCAGGCAGAGCAGAGCATGCGCTGCAGGGCACCGAACTCAGGCACGCATCAGCGCCTAAAAACCTCCTCACAACATGGCGAAGAGAGGACCCGGATTCGGTTTGCCTGATTGATAGGACTTGTAAGCACCTGTGGGCAACTCTAGCAAGCAGAGCAGAGTGTGTGCCGCGGGACACCGAAGACAGGCGCGTACCAGCGCCAAAAAAATAAAAAGAAAGGGGGATCTGTGGGGAGCAACCCGGACTGGACTGAGTTACTGGAATTAAGACTTATTCTATGCATCTGCTCTCCCACAATATGGCGCTGGGAGAGGAGGCAACAGCTTCTACCCAGCTGCCTCTCACCAACTTGACAAGCTGCAGGACCTGCTCCTGATTGGAGGAGAGCAGCGTACTCGGCGTGTGGGCAGCCGAGTTAGGATTGGCGGAAGAGGACTATAAAGGAGGAGAGAGACGGCATGCACCAGGAACATCTAAGGGGAACATCTAAGGGGAACACCTGTGCAGCCCCCGAGAGAGCCGGCCGGCGGTGTGCCGCTCCCCCGCGGAAGTGGGGGATGTGGCAGGGGGAACCACCCTTCCACGGAGGTGGAAGGGTCGGTAGCCAACCCGGGAAGAACCAGCAGCAAACCCGGGGAGGGCCGAGCAGACGAAAGAACAGCGCAGGGTCCTGTGTCGTTCCTCCACAAAGAGGGGGAGCGACATATGCACTGTTCCAAAGTCCTCGTATATGCAGTTGAAAAAAGAAAAAAGAAAAGGACTCTCCTGTTAAGGAGCCTTCACCCATCTTAAATGTCCTCTTCCCCAATATTGAAATATTATCCATCCTTAAGATACAGCAGAAATCCTATTTCTGTGAAGACTGTAGTGACTCCCCTGGCCCAATATACTCTTTTTTCTTAACTCCCCATAGTTTCTTTCTTTCCCTCTCTCTCTCTCTCTCTTTTTTTTTAATGACACTTAGCACATTCTCCCTTAGAAGCAAGGTTGTCATCTTGGAACTGCACCTATGGAATGCATGAAATCTGTTCTCTTTATAGTAATACAAATAAATAAATTAAAAAAGATTTGTGAAGGGTCAGCACTGTGGCTTAGCGGGTAAAGCCGCCCCCTGCAGTGCCGGCATCCCTTATGGGCATCAGTTCAAGTCCCCGCTGCTCCACTTCCGATCCAGCTCTCTGCTATGGCCTGGAAAAGCAGAAGATGAAACAAGTCCTTGGGTCCCAACACTTGCATGGGAGACCCAGAAGAAGCTCCTGGCTCCTGGCTTCGGATCGGCATAGCTTAGGCCATTGCGGCCAATTGAGGAGTGAACCCGCGGATGGAAGACCTCTCCCTCTCTCTCTGCCTCTCCTACTCTTTCTATGTATCACTGACTTTCAAATAAATAAATAAATCTTTAAAAAAAAAAAAGATTTTATGAGCAATTTAAAAACAAGTCTGCATCTTTTAAAAGTATCCATAATTCTGAGCACAGTTCTTGATTCACAATAAAATATTTGTTTTATGTGTGAATAAGCAAATAAACCTTGGATCAAAAGTTAAGGGTCTGTGATAAGCATTTACCTGTTCTTAGTATTCTTTTCCTGAGTTCCAGTGTGTAATGTTTAGGCATTATTGACCTTGATGCAACTATTGTCATCTAATCATTGAAAATTCTGTAACATTTACATGTTGTAATTGTATATTTGGGAAAATTTTACATGCTATGTAATCATAAAATTTAATATGATCCAAGGGAATCTGTTCATTTAGTTTAGATCCAACACTAATTATTCTAACATGGACAGGTTTACTTTAACACTGTGTTCTTTCCCTTTCCTAGGAAAAGTACAATAATAATAACCTGTGTATAGCACTTTCACCTGTCAATGGTTTATAGAAGTTATTTTAGTCTCTAAGCAGACCTGTGGAATATATAGGATAGGTACTATCTCTGTTTTAAATTTGTTGAGACTAAAGGACAAAGGAGTTATATAATTTACATGGAGTCATACAATCAATTAAATTTTTAGATGTAGGCTTAATCTATCTTATGGCATGAAAATTGTATATTTTTCATTACTTGAAATAATTATATGCATTTTATTTCCATAGTGAAAGAAATGATGTCTTAAGAGAAGCTGAAATTTTACACAAAGCTAGATTTAGTTACATTCTTCCAATTTTGGGAATTTGCAATGAGCCCGAGTTTTTGGGAATAGTTACTGAATACATGCCAAATGGATCATTAAATGAGCTCCTACATAGGGTAAGTACTCTATAATTGCTGTTATGACCATTTTCATTATGCAAACTATATAGTACTTTGGTCTTATATTCAATCAGATTATTTGGGGGTATATAAATGAATCAAAGAAAGAATAAAAAACAGCTGCAGTAGTAAAATTCCACCTTTTGTGGCTTCTTTTGTTTCTTTAAAACTGTGGAGTCAAGCCTTATTCTAAAGGACTTAGATTTCTTAGGTTATTGTTCCTGACATTTATACTGAATTCCAGTGTCCCTATGCATATATATACAGGTAAGAATGGGAACTAGAAAAGATAAACTCTGTATACTATATAATCTGTTGGTTATGCCATATTACATTTTGTGTTAATGGAAATTTAGGATTCAGATGTTACTAATACAAGTTCATAAAGTTCTGAATTAACAAGGCAATCAGTAATCTGGGTTCCAGATACATTAGCTTTTCTTCTAAAGGGCAGCAGTATCAGCGATTTTTGCTGTTTTTCTCAAGGTACCAGTTACTCATTCTCAAAATATATGTATTTTTTACTGTTTGCTTGACATTACATAATTAATATCTGCAATCAATTGTTTCTGTTGAGAAATCTTTTTAAAATGCTTGGCCCATGTTCTGAGGGTTAGTTTAGGTAAAATTGAGTAATAAAATCTGTAAAACTCCAAGTACTGGACACTCCCCAATTATAATAATCACAGTGCTCTGTAAGTGACCAAGGGAAAGTGGTGCCACTGTCAGCCACTCATGGAGTCAACTTCCTCTTTGTTTCAGAATACATCGCATTCTATTCATGACTTGTGACCATCTGAAACAAAGATGGAGTGAAGTAACTGGTGTCGATCTGTAAGGTTTGTGTAACCACAGTAGTCAAGATGCAAATATTAATAAAGCAAGCTTTTTAAAAAATCTTTGAGAACTGGATATAATTAGAAATTCTAATGTTTTATTCCCACACCCCAGTATATACTCTGGGATTCAAAATTGGATCCCACTGGAAATTCTTTACCCTTCTCCAAGAGGATATAAACTCCTAGAAGGAATCATAATATATAGAGTGAGCATTCCTCCAACTTGTCTCTATGATCAGAAGCCTCCATGTAATACTATGCTGCAGAGATGCCTGGGTCTTCCTTTAAACAGCATAATCTTCAGAAAACCTTTTCTGCAAATTAGAAGATTCAGTTATTCTAGGGGACTGGGTTTTGTGTACACCAAAGGAAGTTATGTTTCACATTAGTGTTTTGAGATTCTGTTGGTTTGTTGCATTACACTATTTAGGGTGGGATTATCTTGAAGCTCCCTCTTCAACATCACAAAAGATCACTGAAAACAAGGCAAAGTACAATATAAATAATTTTGAGTCACTCCCCTTGCCAGGTTGGTCACTGAACTGTCAGCAGACCAATTTGAAGAAAAGTTTTCTTTTCAATAGCAGCATGCTTTTTCATAGCATTTAGAAAAATGTGCCCAGGAGCATGGTGTTTTATGACTCATTATCGCTTTTCAGAAATTGTCCAACTTTTTGGGATGTTGTCATTCTCCTGGGAAGCTACGTTAATTTTAGTGTTAAAGAACATTTATTTTCGGAAAGCTCAGCTGGAAATCAGTTATAAGTAGGAGGAAATATAAGACATTATGTTTTAAATGTGTCTGTATTATATTGTCTTACAAACAAAAATTATTTTTGTCTCCATAAAAATAAAACTTAAAAGGTAACTTTTCAAGCTAGAATTCAGGTAAATTAAATGTATGATTAAAAGATGAAATGTCAGTATGTCGGTAATATACAGTAATTATAATAACAAAGTGTTTATACTTAATTTTTAGAAAAATTAAAGTATAAGTTTTGAATGAATGCTATGGTATATACTATAACTATTTTGTATAAATTGTGTGAGTGGGGGGTGCACACCCTTAGTTGATTAAGCCCTAGAATGGGGAGATGGCTGTGAATCTAGGCACATTTCTGGCTATAAGTCAGAGTTATTTCAGCTGAACAAAGAAGACCCTCTACCACATACTTGCATGACAAAATACAAGGAAATATCGACAGAACAGTTATTATTATTTTCTCTAAAATGCGAGGAGAGTAAGATGCAAGAATTTTAATATCAAATTGATGCTATGTTATAAAAATTAGTGTCTGTTTTGACCTCATTTTATACTATTTTGTTTCATGGAATGTTTAATTTTCTAAATATATAATCCCGTGACACTAATTTTTATTTTTTTCTTTTCATTATATAAAGAAAACTGAATATCCTGATGTTGCTTGGCCATTGAGGTTTCGCATCCTGCACGAAATTGCGCTTGGTGTCAATTACCTGCACAATATGAATCCTCCTCTACTTCATCACGACTTGAAGACTCAAAATATCTTGTTGGATAATGAATTTCATGTTAAGGTAATTGCTTTTTGTAAAAAAAAAAAAAAAAAGTTTATCCGTATCCTTGTACTTAATAGTTTTAAAAAGACTTTTTTAGTTATTTCTTCCACTTAGCCAATTTAATATCATTCCTTTTCTACATCCCCTTATTCCTAACTTCAGTCCCCCTTCTTCCTAGCCCTTAGTTATTCCTAAAATACAGAGATAGATAGATTTATGGTATAAAATACAAAGACATTTTGTTTCTTTTTTTAATTTTTTTTCTTTTGAATGTATTATGGATTTACAAGAAATTTCAGGTAATACAGAGATCCCATGTCCCCTTCACTCAGTTTCTCCTGATTATATCATATATCATTTTAATATAATTTCAAGACCAAGAAATTTATATTAGTGCAGTGCATTTATATAGTTTTCTGTCACTTTATCCCGTGAACATTTTGTGTATCCACTCCAGCAGTCAAGATAGCACTATGCTGTCACTGCAAAGATACTGCTCGTGTTACACCCATCTCTTCCATTCCACTATCCCTGATAAACACTGTTTTCTGTCTCTCTGGTTTAGTAATTTTGAGTATGCCATTTAAGTGGAATCATGTGATTTTTTTTTTTTTAGGTTCTGTTTCCACAGCATAATACCCTTAATATCCATCCAAGTTTTTATATCTATCAGTAGTTGTTGTTTGTTGTTGTTGCTAACTGGTTCTATGGTATTGATAAACTGCAGTTATTTAACCATTTACCTATTGAGGGACATTTTGGTTCTTTCCAGTTTTCAGCAATTCAGTAAAACTTCTATGAACAGTCCTGTACAGATTGATGAGTGAATATAAATATTTCTCAGGGATAAATTCCCCAAGAATATAACTACTGAGTCATATGGAGATGGTAGGTTTAGGTTTTTAAAAGAAACTATCAAGTACTTTCCAGAATGTCTATATCATTTTATGCTCCACCAGCAATGTATGTGAGATCTAGCTTTTTCACAGCTTCACCAGCATTTGGTATTTACCACTGTTCTTAATTAGCTTTTCTAATATGTATACAGTAATATCTCACAATGATCTTAATTTCAGTTTTCCTAATGGCTAATAATATTAAACACCTTTTCATGTGCTTATTTGCCATCTTTATATCCTTCTCAGTGAAAAATCTGTTCATTTCTGAAGGCTTTCTAATTGGATTCTTTGGGGTTTTTTTTTTCACTTTCCACTTAGAATCTAAACATCAGTTGTACATGAGATAAGTGGTTTGCAAATGTTTCCTCCCAATCTATAGTTCATCTTTTATTTCATTTCTTTTAACATGACCTTTAACAGAACAAAAGTTTTAATTTTGATAAAATCAAATTTATTTATATTTTTCTTTTATGCTTTCGTTATCATGTCTAAGCAATCTTCACCAAGCTGTAGGTATTTGCGATTTTCTTCTGTGTTACCTTCTAAAGCAGGGATGGGGAACCTTTTTTATGCCAAAGGCCATTTGGGTATTTATAACATCATTTGTAGGCTTTCCTTAAAAAATTATCAGCTTTGGGGCCGGTGCTCTGGCACAGCAGTTTAAAGCCCTGGCCTGAAGCACCGGCATCCCATATGGGCACTGGTTCTAGTCCTGGATGCTCCTCTTCCAATCCAGCTTCCTGCTATGGCCTGAGAAAGCAGTAGAAGATGGCCCAGTCCTTGGGGCCCTGCACTCATGTGGGAGACCCAGAAGAAGCTCCTGGCTCCTGGTTTCGGATCAGCACAGCCCCGGCCATTGCGTCCATCTGGGGAGTGAACCAGCAGATGGAAGTCCTCTCTCTGTAACTCTGTCTTTCAAATAAATAAAATAAATCTTTAAAAAAAATTATCAGCTTGGCCGGCACCATGGCTCACTGGGGGGGGGCTGATCCTCCACCTGCGGCGCTGGCACACCAGATTCTAGTCCCGGTCGGGGCGCCGGATTCTGTCCTGGTTGCTCCTCTTCCAGTCCAGCTCTCTGCTGTGGCCCGGGAGTGCAGTGGAGGATGGCCCAGGTCCTTGAGCCCTGCACCCGCATGGGAGACCCGGAGGAGGCACCTGGCTCCTGGCTTTGGATTGGCACAGTGTGCCAGTCCCAGCGCACCAGCCGTAATGGCCACTTGGGGGGTGAACCAACGGAAAAAGGAAGACCTTTCTCTCTGTCTCTTGTCTCTCTCTCTCTCTCTCTCACTCTCACTGTCTAACTCTGCCTGTCAAAAAAAATTATCAGCTTAAAAAATATCCTGCTATAAATTTATTGAATTTTGTGTACTACCTATGGTTGCCTTCGGAAGGCCAGACCAAATGATTTCACAGAGTGACAGAGAGAGTGCGAGACAGAGAACTCCCAACTGCTGGATCACTCCCCAAATGGCTATAACAAACAGCTGTAGGCTAGGCTGAAACCAGAAGTGAAGAACTCCATCCTGGTATCTTACATATGTGGCAGGGTGACAGAGGGCCAAGTAATTTGGGCCATGCTGCACTGCTTTCCCAGGTGCGTTAGCAGGGAGCTGTATCGGAAGTGGAGCAACCAAGTCTCTATCCAGCACTCTGATATGGAATGCCAGCATCTTAAGTGACAGCTTCACCCACTGTGTCACAATGTCAGCCCCTAATTATTTTCAGACAGGGTTTAAGGATAGTCTCCTACTAGTTTATAGATTTGCAAAACCAATGTTGTTTTTCCCTTTTTAAAGATTAGACTGGTGACCCTTGTGGTGCAGTGAATTAAGCTACCACCTGCAATGCCAGCATCCCATTTGAGCACTGCTTCAAGTCCTGGCTACTCCGCTGTCTGACCCACTTCCCTGCTAATGTGCCTGGGAAAAGCAGTGAAAGATGGCCCAAGTACTTGGACCCCTGTCACCCATATGGGAAACCCTGATGGAGTTCCTGGCTCCTGGCTTCAGTCTGGACCAGCTCTGGCCGTGGAGGCCATTTGAGGAGTAAACCAGCAGATGGAAGATCTCTTTCTCTTTCTCTTGCTCCCTCTCTCTCTCTCTGTAATTCTGATTTTCAAATAAATAAAATTAATCATTCTTCAAAAAAACAGAAATTTCAGATACTTAAAAAAACAATTAGACTGACATTAACTTTTTTGATATCCAGTAGTACCTCTCCATTCTGTCCCATAAGAGAAAACTACTAACATAGTGTAGGTATTTGCACATTCTCTCAATAATTTCAGATGTAAGGTACTTGTACTCTGTGTGCCTTTCAGACTCCCTGAACTTTATTTCCTTCATCTCAACAGAGAAACTATTCTTGGTAGAGTAAACAGAAGTATAATAATAATAGTCCATGACCCTCTACTTTCTTCTTCATTGATCAGTAGGGGACCCTTGGTCTTTCTTCGCTATGAGTAAGATATAAAATGGTCTTGATTTTGTGTATTTTTTGTAATTTTCATTTAGCACATACAGAACTGTGACTTTTCTGATGCTATTCTTTTAAATTAGTATCATCCTTTTGTAGGCATATTTCATGACTTTGCTGTATACTTTCTAGTGTCCTTTGAAAGTCAAAGTTCATCAGCAACTCATGAAAAAGTAATACTTACTTGATCTACGTATCAGCTTGGTGTAGGACATTTTACTTCTGAAGTTCACACAAATCTATAAAAATAAAATAGAAATAACTTGAAATTCACATCATACTGCAGTTTTTTGAAGTAAGTTTTCTTACTGGAAAGCTAACCAGAAGCTTAGTATCTATAAGAAAAATATGTACTGCCTATTAAGATCAATTGAGACATTTCTAAACCTTTTAAAAATACACTTAGGTGGCCATTTAAGTTTAATATTAAAAGACTGTTTAATGATAACAGTGCATCATAAAACCTTCATAAAGAAAGGAGAATGTTTTGTGGACCATTTTTTTTTTTTTAAGATTTATTTATTTACTTGAAAGGCAGAGTTAGAGAGAGGCAGAGAAAGAGAGGTCTTCCATCAGCTGGGTCATTCCCCCAAATGGCTGCATCTTCCCCAGCTGGGCCCATCTGAAGCCAGGAGCCAGGAGATTCTTCTAGGTTTCCCATGCAGGTGCAGGGTTCCAAGCACGTGGGCCATCTTCTACTGCTTTCCCAGGCCATAAGCAGAGAGCTGGATTGAAAGACGAGCAGCCGGGACTTGAGGCAGTGCCCCATAATGGATGCCAGTACCTCAGGCAGTGGCTTTACCCACTACCCCACAGTGTCAGCCCCATGGACCATTTGTGTGTGTGTGTGTGTGTGTGTGCGCATGATGGTTTTAAGTTGTTTTTAAAATCAGTATTTTTTTAATGGAAACTTGACCAAAAATATGTTACAAAATTTTGACCCATGAAAACAAAGTTTAGTGAGAAAAAAAAAATGAACTTAGAGCTGGAATTGTAGTGCAGGGTGTTAAGCCACAGCTTACAATGCTGGCATCCTATATCAGAGCACCTGCTAGAGCCTCAGCTGCTCTGCTTCCAATCCAGCTCCCTGCTAACATTCCTAGGAAAGCAGTGGAAGACAGCACAAATGCTTGGGCCCCTGCCACCTATATGAGATTCCTAGATGGAGTTCTTGACTCCTGGCTTTGGCAACCATTTAGGGAGTAAACCAGCGCATGGAATATTCTCTCTCATTCTCTCCCTGTCCCTCTCTCTTTCTCAGAACCCTCTCCCTTTATCCCTCAATCCCTCTGTAACTCTGCCTTTCAAATAAATCTTTTTTAAAAATGCAGTTAACTTCTTTATTTTTTGTCAATCAAATGTCTGTTGGTCCACCTTAGATACAGATGAACCAGTGACAGGCTTCTTGAGAAGGGAATATTTATGTGTACCCTATCTGCTTTCTCTGCTCTTCTGTAGGTCTTATGTGAAAACAGAATACAGATGGTCCGACTTAACCATAGTTCAGCTTAAGGCTTTTTTGACTATATGACAGTAAAAATATAGGATGTAAATAATAGAAATACAGTGTGCTGGATGGAGCTCTTTACACTATGTTGACTTCTAAAGTATGCATTACAAAAGTCTAAGCAACTAAAGTAGCTTTCAAGATTTCCCATATTCCTGTATCCATTAAATATCATTTGTATTCTTTCATCTTTTCAGTTTTAAAAATAGGCAGCTTTTAAATATTTACGGATTGTATAAAGCAGAGCAAGATTTACAAGTAAAGTAAAACTAAAAGACATCAGAAGATTGTTATGACAATTCTTTAGCTGTCTGTTGTTTTGGACATAATATGCTTTATATGCTGACTATAATATACCATTCTTTTAGTGGTAAGCATAAATCGTATAATAATGACATTTATTATTACTGAAATTTTGCTTATTTCAAAACTTAAAAATGCTCCTTCCAAGGCATTATAAATAAAACCATATATAAACCTGAGTTGTAAGGAATACTCAGTGACAATTAGTAGATTTAGCAGTTCTGTGCAGTGAGTGAATTTCAAAAGCACATGCTATCAAGCTATTTACCATAAAAATAAAGTGTTCAATGTATACACTTGCACCAAACTGAAGGGAAAAATCACTAGTCTTTTGACACTTGTAATATTCTGTTAAACCTCAAGTCAGTATGTATTCCTTCTGGAGTTCTTGAGTTCACTGCTGTGGAACTTAATTTTATTTTTAAAAAAACAGGTTAGAGTCCGGCACCGCAGCTCCATAGGCTAATCCTCTGCGGCATCGGCACATCGGGTTCTAGTCCTGGTCGGGGCGCCGGATTCTGTCCCAGTTGCCCCTCTGCCAGGCCAGCTCTCTGCTATGACCCAGGAGTGCAGTGGAGGATGGCCCAAGTGCTTGGGCCCTGTACCCACATGGGAGACCAGGAGAAGCACCTAGCTCCTGGCTTCTGATCAGTGTGATGCCGGCTGCGGCGGCCATTGAAGGGTGAACCAACGGCAAAGGAAGACCTTTGTCTCTGTCTCCCTCTCTCTCACTGTCCACTCTGCCTGTCAAAAAAAAAAAATTAAAAAAAAAAAAAACAGGTTAGAAAATATAGAAATAAAATATTTATATAACGTTTCCTTTGATCTAACACCTGAATGCAATGGATATACACAAAGACATTCAATTCATTGACTTTTTAAAGAGAAAAATTTTAAATTCAATTATTTACTATTTTTCCCATACAGATTGCAGATTTTGGTTTATCCAAATGGCGAATGATGTCCCTTTCACAGTCACGAAATAGTAAATCTGCACCAGAAGGAGGCACAATTATCTATATGCCACCTGAAAACTATGAACCTGGACAGAAATCAAGGGCCAGTGTCAAGCACGACATATATAGGTACAGTGTATTCCTTTGTTCAGAGTTAATTTAAAATACAAGATTAGTCAACCAGGATTTTGCAGCTCTCATAACTCTGCTGAAAAAATAACAGAGGCCACAGTGTTTAGTATTACTCAATTTAAAAATGCCTTGCTTAAGCAACTTTTATATTCTTTAAAAGATTTTAAAGTACATCTTTTTGTCCTATTTGTTGTATGTAACTTGGGAGAAATAGTTGTTCTTAACATTTTACTTTTAAGTTTCCCATCCTGTTCTACCATTTATTGTCTGATATCTAGACTTTTTTTTTTACAAAAATAAACAAATCCTTAAACCAACTGAGATTTTTGTTTTAAAAATCCCTAATGTTTGCATATGTCATATGTGTTTATTAAGATCATGTTTTCATGTTTAACATACAGATTACTTACAACCTTATAATAAGTATAAAACAGTAATGAGTATAATACATTATTCTTGATATTGGATATTTGACCAGAGGAAAGGAAGGTGATAATTTATAATTCACAGAATTAGGGAGTGGCACCAATCATTCATTTCATGTAAAACTGTACTTGTTTCTTTTAACATGCATAATTAATGTAAACCAGAATTAATAGCATATACTATGAACACATTTTATAACCTTTTAAAGTATTTTTGCTATATTTAATAAATAATCGATAAAAATTAAGGTGCATTTAACAATAAATGCTATTTCTCTACCAGAGAATTACATATTTAAATTGTGTATCCCTTTCTCCAAATGATTTAATTTTTATTACTTCTCATTAAATCCAGTACCAACTAACTAGTTTTAGTAGCTATGCTAAGGCACTTAGAGCAAGTGTCTTTTACATTCACATTACTGTATGAATAAAAGTTCTTTTGTATTTTCTATTCTCTGATATCTTTAGTTCATTTTGAATGATGTACTGTGACGATATAGGAGGGTAATTTATATCTTCTAAGGTAAAAATCATACTGTAACCAATAATTTTTGAAAGCGGGGTTGATTCTATAAACAAAGATCTATTTAAATCTGCTTATCATTGATTTTGTGAAGTATGCCTTTATACTCTACTCCTGTATTCCACAGCAGGGAAAATGAGGAAATATTACTCCTTGATTTGGTTGAGAATTCCCTGTGTAACCCTTACTCTCCCTCTAGGATTATGTGTTGGTTGGTAACTAGTCAATTCCAAGTGTCCCTATTGAATGCATTGTTAATTTGGGGATGCAGAAAAATTTCTATATCCTATTTAATCATTTATCCCAAATACAAACTTTGTGTGACTAAACCAGGTGATTTAAAACTGATGTTAATTGTAGGCAGAATGTTACTACCTGAAGGCAGAGAGTACTCAAACCAGGAAAAAAAGTCGTTAGAATGGGACCACATGAGACAGTGTTTTTATTGCTCTTTATTTTGTGCGAAAAATAGGATCACATAATTAAAGAGCATAGCTTATCTGAGTATTCAAGAATGAGTTACCCTTCTAAGGATATCCTTGCATGTAATTTCACAGTTTTATTACCGTGATTTTCTAAAAAAAATGTTTTTGAAAGACAGTGATCCCATTCACTAGCTCCATCTCCAGATGCCTGCATTAGCCAGGACGTGACCAGGCCAAGGCCAGGAGCTGGGAAATCAATCCAGGTTTCACACATGGGTGAGAGGAACTCTATCTATCAGATCCATTGCCACTGTGCCTAGGGTCTGCATTGGCAGGAAGCTGAAGATAGAAACCAGACCTGGGTACCAGTACCTCAACCATGATTTTAACTCTGAGGCCAGATGCCCTCCCCTAATTTTTCAAATTAATATTAATTTCCTTTCCAAACAAAACTGTCTTGACCATTCATCATCTTGGTTTTATGTGGTAATTCTTTAAGCAGCATTTGACTACCTTGTCATTTTCAAAAATGGTATCTTGACAGTTAGCTTTTAAAATTAGTTACTATTTTAGGTTATTATGCAGAGTTCATATATAATGTATAAAATTCATAATGTATGTAATTTTTGTTTTTATCTTAAACAGCTATGCAATTATCACATGGGAGGTGTTATCCAGAAAACAGCCTTTTGAAGGTAAGAATACTTTGACTTCCTTATTTTTAATAACAACATTTTGGCAGGCTGCACTCAGAACTATCCAACATTCATCTTATTTTAAATGTATCTGTCATTCATTTGTGCAAACTAACAGCATGAAAACAAACATTTTTCAATGACGAATCTATCATTTACAGCAAAGTGTACCAGATTAAGGGTCAGGAAGAATCTAGAATCTTTTTTTATTTTTTTAAAGATTCATTTATTTACTTGAAAGTTGGGAATAACAGAGTGGGAGAGGCAGACAGAGAAAGGTCTTCCATTTGCTGGTTTTACCTCCTGGCTGGGCCAGGCCAGAGCCAGGATCTTCATTTAGGTCTCTCACATTAGTGGCAGGGCCCCAAACACTTGAGCCATCTTTCTCTATTTTTCCCAGGCCATTAGCAGGGAACTGGATCCGAAGTAGAGCAGCTGGGACTCAAACCAGCACCCACATTGGATGTGAGCATTGCAGGTAGCAGCTTTATCCACTATATCACCATGCCAGTCCCAAAAATATAGTTTCCTTATTCTTGTTCTGACAGTAATTAAGTCTATGATAAAGTCACTGAATTTCTAGAATCCTCATTTTCCTCATCGACAAAACAAGTATTGAATTACTATTTGCAAGATCCATTCCAGCTTTAAAACTATATGAATACTTAATACTTAACTTTTTTTTAAAGATTTTATTTATTTATTTATTTGACAGGTAGAGTTACAGACAGTGAGATAGAGAAACAGAGATAAAAGCCTTCTTTCCGTTGGTTCACTCCCCAAATGGCCGCAACGGCCGGAGCTGTGCCAATCCGAAGCCAGGAGCCAGGTGCTTCTTCCTGGTCTGTCATACGGGTACAGGGGCCCAAGGACCCAGGCCATCCTCTGCTGCTTTCCCAGGCCACAGCAGAGAGCTGGATTGGAAGAGGAGCAGCTGGGACTAGAACCAGCGCCCATATTGGATGCCGGCAACAAAGGCAGAGGATTAACTTAGTGTGCCCCGGCACCCATTCCAGTACTTAACTATTTTATACAGAACAGTAAACAATGAAGAATAATCTGTCTTTTTCATTCCCTAATAATATTGTTTATTTCTTTATTTTGAGATTTGTATAAGGTCATATTGCTCAAATGTAACAACCTCAAAATCTCAGTAGCTTACAAAGTAAACTCTTTTTTTAACTTTTATTTAATAAATATATTTTCAAAGTACAACTTTTGGATTATAGCGGCTTTTTCCCCCCATAAACTCCCTCCGACGCACAACCATCCCATCTCCCACCCCATTCACTTCAAGATTCATTTTCAATTATCTTTATATAGAGAAGATCAATTTAGTAAAAATTTCTTTTTTTTTTTTTTTTTTTTTTTTTTTTTGACAGGCAGAGTTAGACAATGAGAGAGAGACAGAGAGAAAGGTCTTCCTTCCATTGGTTCACCACCCAATGGCTGCTATGGCCGGCGTGCTGCACGGATCCAAAGCCAGGAGCCAGGTGCTTTCCTCCTGGTCTCCCATGTGGGTGCAGGGCCCAAGCACTTGGGCTATCCTCCACTGCCTTCCTGGGCCACAGCAGAGAGCTGTACTGGAAGAGGGGCAACTGGGACTAGTACCCAGCGCCCCAGCCAGGACTAGAACCCGGTGTGCCAGCACCACAGGCAGAGGATTAGCCTAGTGAGCCACGGCGCTGGCCATAAAAGTAAAGATTTCAACAGTTTGCACCCACACCGAAACACAAAGTATAAAGTACTGTTTGAGTACCAGTTATACCGTTAATTCACATAGTACAACACATTAAGGACAGAGATCCTAAATGGGGAGTAAATGCACAGTGACTCCTTTCGTTGATTTAACAATTGACACTCTTACTTATGATGTAATCACTTGAGGCTCTAGTCATGAGCTGCCAAGGCTATGGAAGCCTCTTGAGTTTGCCAACTCTGATCTTATTTAGACAAGGCCATAGTGAAAGTGGAAGTTCTCTCCTCCCTTCAGAGAAAGGTACCTCCTTCTTTGATGGCCCCTTCTTTCCACTGGGATCTCACTCACAGAGATCTTTCATTTAGGTTTTTCTTTTTTTGTTTTTGTTTGTTTTTTGCCACAGTGTCTTGGCTTTCCATGCCTGAAATACTCTCATAGGCTTTTTAACCAGATCCACATGCCTTAAGGGCTGATTATGAGGCCAGAGTGCTGTTTAGGACATCTGCCATTCTGTGAGTCTGCTGTGTATCCCGCTTCCCATGTTGGATCATTCTCTCCTTTTTAATTCTATCAGTTAGTATTAGCAGACACTAGTCTTGTTTATGTGATCCCTTTAGCACTTAATCCTATCATTATGATTAATTATGAACTGAAACTGATCACTTGGACTAGTAGGATGGCATTGGTACATGCCACCTTGATGAGACTGAATTGGAATCCCCTGGCACCGTTTTAACTCTACCATTAGGGATAAGTCCGATTGAGCATGTGCCAAACTGTACATTTCCTCCCTCTCTTATTCCCACTGTTATATTTAACAGGGATCACTTTTCAGTTAAATTTAAACAGCTAAGAATAATTGTGTGTTAATTAAAGAGTTCAACCAATGGTATTAAGTAGAACAAAAAAATACTAAAGGGAATAAAGTATTAAGTTGTTCCTCAACAGTCAGGACAAGGGCTGATCAAGTCATTGTTCCTTCACTTCAAGAGGTTTCCTTTTAGGTGCTCAGTAGTTGTCACCGATCAGGGAGAACATATGATATTTGTCCCTTTGGGACTGGCTTATTTCACTCAGCATGATGGTTTCCTGATTCTTCCATTTTGTTGCAAATGACCAGATTTCATTTTTTTCCTGCTGTATATATTCTATACAGTACATATCCCATAATTTCTTTATCCAGTCATCTGTTGATGGGCATTTAGGTTGATTCCATGTCTTAGCTATTATGAATTGAGCTGCAATAAACATTAAAATGCAGCCAGCTCTTTTATTTGCCAATTTAATTTCCTTTGGGTAAATTCCAAGGAGTGGGATGGCTGGGTTGTATGGTAGGGTTATATTTAGGCTTCTGAGGAATCTCCAAACTGACTTCCATAGTGGTTTTACCAGTTTGCATTCCCACCAACAGTGGGTTAGTGTCCCTTTTTCCCCACATCCTCGCCAGCATCTGTTGTTGGTAGATTTCTGTATGTGAGCCAGAATTCTAACTGGGGTGAGGTGAAACCTCATTGTGGTTTTGATTTGCATTTCCCTGATTGCTAGTGATCCTGAACATTTTTTCATGTGTCTGTTGGCTGTTTGTATTTCCTCTTTTGAAAAATGTCTGTTGAGGTCCTTGGCCCATCTCTTTAGTGGGTTGTTTGTTTTGATGTCGTGGAGTTTCTTTATCTCTTTGTAGATTCTGGTTATTAAACCTTTAGGTTGCATAGTTTGCCAATATTTTTATTTCTCCTTCAGGTTAGTTAGATATTGGTTGCTGTAGCCTTTCATGGCTCTGTCACATTTTACTCAGCTATACAGAGCTCTGCCTGACTCTGTTCTACTCATATACCATTAACAAAGTGAAATAACATTATCAAGTCCAGAATTAATGATGATGTAAACTCCTTTCCTGGAAGGCTGACAAGTCTGGTAATGACTTGGATTCATATATATGTATTCCTTTAACCAAGGAGGGGTAATATATTTTATTACTCCTAAAATTTTAAGATTACTCATTTTCATCTGCCTAGTTTTAGTATTTAATGTGCTAGATTTTAATGTATTTCTAATAAATTAAATACGTTCTTTGGACAGAAGTCACCAATCCATTGCAGATTATGTATAGTGTGTCACAGGGACATCGACCTGACACTAATGAAGAAAGTTTACCTTTTGATATACCTCATCGAGCACTTATGATATCTCTGATAGAAAGTGGATGGGCACAAAATCCGGATGAAAGACCATCTTTCTTAAGTGAGTATACAGCTTTGATCTGGACCATTTGAGTTATGTAAAGTACCTAATGCACTGTGAATAAAATATCCCTGGAAAAATTATACAAATTGGATAACTAGTTGCAAGTGTTGTTTAAATTCTTCTAATTCTTGTTATTCATAACATTTACCTTTGAATAACTGTTTTGAGAGCAGAATTGAGAATTCCTAACAGAAGAGAGAAATCAGCTAGGAGTGTTCATTGCTTTCATATATTCAACAACTCTTTATTGAACACCTACCATGTGCTACAGCACATGAGTACAGAGTGAGCACTGAGAAAGATTAGTAAATAAGATAGTATAAGGCAGTAACTTTCAGGAGCCCATAGCCTCATAGAGAAGACTCAGGCAAAACATAAATGTAGAAGAAAGAGATCACTGAGGTCCGGAAGAAAGCAGGGTAATAAGGGAGAGAGAGGAAAGGCTTGTTTTAAGGAGCAAACATTTGAGCTGAGATTTGAAGCCTGAAAAGGAGCTAATCATTCAAAAGCGGAAGAACAAGTTTTTCAGGCAGAGAAAAGAGCAAGGCTAAAGGGCCTTCACTAGAACAGCAGGAAATGTTATTTGTGAAGAACAAAGAGGCCTTTATAGCGGGAGGAAACCTTGCAAAGAAGGACATAATGTCAGGAGATTGGGGAGGTACAGAAGAGATGCTGGACATCATAAAAAGTCAGTCCAAGTGCAATGGAAGGCCATTAAAGTTTGCTTTGAAGGGAACTGACATGATCTAATTTTAGATGAAATCATTCACTGCTGTGTGGAAATTGGGTAAGAGCTGCAGGAATTTTCTAATTAAGGTAGTAATTCTGGAGGTAGAACAATTGCACAGAATTAAGATGTGTTTCAGAAGTAGAATGATCAGACATCTAGATGTAAACATAAGAGAAAATCTTCATATTCTTGGTTTAAACAGAGCTCTTGGATACATGAAAAAATAATAAAATCAGGACCCATAACAAAATAATTGGTTAATTAGTTTCAAAACAATTGGAAACTTTTGCACTTCAAAGTACACTATTGAGAAAAAATAAAAAGCACTCCACAGTCTGGGAAAACATTTGTGTATCATATATCTGCTAAAAGATTTGTATCTAGAAATGTAAGAACTCTGACAACTCAGGACAAATAACCCAATAAAAAATAGTAAAAGGTCTGAATTTCACTGCAGGAAATATACAAATGACTAAAAAAGACATTAAATGTGTCTTAATACCATTAGGAAATGCATTTTAAAACTATAATGAGATACCTATGTATAACCACTAGAATTGCTATTGAGACAAAGGCAAGTATCAAAATAACAAGTTTTAACAATAATGTGGAGTAATGAAACATAGTTAATGTGATTGTAAAATGATGCACTTATTTTAAAAAGTTTGAAAGGTAAATTTACCATACAAATCAAAATTGTACCTACAGGTAGTTACTTAAATGAAAACATACACCTGCACAGTGACTTGTATGTAAATCATCATTGGAGCATTATTCAGATAATCAGCAAGTGGAAACAGTGATAATCACTGCTACTACTAGGATAATAGATGGATTTGTTACTTAAAGGAGGTGCCAGATTTCCTGAATCAAAATTGAGCATTATTAACACAGAGATGGTATAGACTGGATCACCCAAAGAGAGAATATAGATAGCAACGAATAGAGCACCATATTAGAGTTCTGAGGCATTCCAGCACTTAGAAATTGAGTAGAGGGGCTGGCACTGTGGCACAGTAGGCTAAGCCTAGCCTGTGTACACCAGCATCCCATATAGCTGCCAGTTTGTGTCCCGGCTGTCCTTCTTCTAAGCCAGCTTTCTGCTAATCACCTGGGAAAGCAGTGGAAGATGACCTGAGTGCTTGGGCCCCTGCACCTGTGTGGGAGACCCAGAAGAAGCTCCTGGCTCTTGGTTTCAGCCTGTATTAGCCCTAGCTGTTGCAGCCATTTGGGGAGTGAACCAGCAGATGGAAGACCTTTCTCTGTGTATTTCCCTTTCTCTGTCTGTAACCCTACCTTTCAAATAAATAAAAATATTTTTTTAAAAATTAAGTAGAGAAAGGAGAGACTATCATTATATTAGAATTCATATATACTGAATCTGTTAAAGACTAAAAATTATAAAAAATAAAAATCTTGAAAAAAAATTGAGTAGAGAAAGAGGAAAAGAGATTGTGAAACAGATGACAATAAAGAATGCAATTTCTTGGGTCTTGGAAGCCACCAAAGGGAAATTTTCAGAGAAGGAGCAGTCAGCTATATCTAATCTGCCAAGAAGCTGAGTAAAATAAGCAAGATTTTTCAGTATTGTCATCATTGGAAACCAAAAAAAAAAATCTAATTTTAGTAGAGATATAAAAACAGAAGATTGATACATGTTAAAATATTAATTAGAAGGAATGAAATAAGTATGAGTAATTACTGTGAATCCTTTATTCACTTTGTAGTTACATTATTTATCCTGTTCAATTTTCAGAGTAATTTATATATACCAGATACAAGTGCGTTAGCAGAGATATGCAGATATTCTCCGAGTCTGGCTTATCTTATTTTTAGTTAATAGTGTCTTGATATGCAAAAGTTTTCAATTTATTTCAAGTCCGGTTACAAATTTTTTTTGAAGAAAACTTTTTATTTATTTGAGAGGCAGAGAGAGAGAGAGAGTGCACTCCCATCCACTAGTTCATGCCCCAGTGCCCACAGTGGTCCCCAGCTAAGACCAAAGCCTTGGCCAAGAACTCAATCCAGGTTTCCCACAAGAGTGGCAGAAACCCAATTACTTCAGCCATCATTGCAGCCTTCCAGAGTCTGCATTAGGTGGAACTTGGAGCCATGAGCAAAGTTGGGCATCAAACCTAGGCATTCCAGTGTAGTATATAGGCATCCCAACCACCATCTTAACCACCAGACAAAACACCCTAATTTTTTATGGACCCTATTTTTTTATTGTCATATCTAAGAACTCAATCTAACCCAAGGACAAGAAAATTTTCTCCTATGCTTACATCCAAATATGTGATCCATTCCAAATAAGTTTTTATATATGGTGTGAGATAAGAGTCTGAATTTATCTTCTGTGGATATCCAACAGTCTTAGCACCATCTGTTGAAAATCAACTGACCATAATTGTAAGAATTTATTTTTAAACTCTCAATTCTTTTCCACTGATCCTATGTCTGTCTTTATACCAGAAATAAGAAGTCTGAAGATAGTTGAATGTCATTACTTTGGGGGAAAACTGACTAATTTTTGTCAGTTAATACTTAGCATTTAAGTTTTAATGATTAAAAGCAATCTGAACCCAAAATGTAATTTTTTTCTGATCTAGAATGTTTAATAGAACTTGAACCAGTTCTGAGAACATTTGAAGAGATAACTTTTCTTGAAGCTGTTATGCAGCTGAAAAAAACAAAGGTAAATTGCACAATTTACAGTTTACTTATCACTAACTGACTTTGCTTGCCCCTTGCTGTTTACTGGAACTATTGACTTAACCTTCAGTTTTAAGGAAAGTACATAAAGGAAATCACTAACCATAACCAAACTAAAAATTTATGTTAGCAATTTTAGTGCCTGAGTTTTGTAATGAACTCAGGAACTTTATTTTAGTTTTTTTTTTTTTTTTATTTTTTTTATTTTTTGACAGGCAGAGTGGACAGTGAGAGAGAGAGACAGAGAGAAAGGTCTTCCTTTGCCGTTGGTTCACCCTCCAATGGCCGCCGCTGCCAGCGTGCTGCGGCCGGCGCACCGCGCTGATCCGATGGCAGGAGCCAGGAGCCAGGTGCTTTTCCTGGTCTCCCATGGGGTGCAGGGCCCAAGCACCTGGGCCATCCTCTACTGCACTCCCTGGCCACAGCAGAGAGCTGGCCTGGAAGAGGGGCAACCGGGACAGAATTCGGTGCCCCAACCGGGACTAGAACCCGGTGTGCCGGCGCCGCAAGGCGGAGGATTAGCCTAGTGAGCCGCGGCGCCGACCCAGTTCTTTTGATAACTTTTTACTAACTCCTCCCCCCCTTCTAAATAGGTACAGTCTTTTCTAGAGCATACTAATTTGTTTCTCCAATTCCTGTTAGATACAAATGCCTGATAATATTTCCTTTTGACTTAACCTCTTCAGTTTCATGTTTTCTCCTACCATTTTTTTCTTTTTATTCTACCAAATAAAAGTAGATGGAAGATCCTGTTTTCTTGGTTATAAAGGGAATCTCCAAACAATTTTAACACTAGATCCTATATTTAAGACTGTTAAATTTTTGAAGGTTTATTTATTTATTTGAAAGGCAAAGTTACAGAGATAGAGGAGAGAGAGAGAGAGAGAGGGAGAGAGAGAGATATCTTCCATTCACTGGTTCACTCCAAATGGCTGCAATGACCAGAGTTGGGCTGATCCGAAGCCAGGAGCTTCTTTGCGAACTCCCTTGTGCAGGGTCACAAGTACTTGGACCACCTTCCACTGCTTTCCCAGGCACATTAGCAGGAAGCTGAATGGGAAATGGGACAGCTGGATTCAAACTGGCATACATATGAGATGCTGGCATTGCAGGCAGCAGTTTTACCCACTATACCACAGTGTCAGTCCCAAAACTGTTAATTTTTATGCCTGTATTTCCAATAATGGAAATAGACAGATGCACACCAGAGTTTATTAAGTACCCAGTTTGTATGAGATACATTAAATTCTCAGTCTTTAGGACAATCTTATATTTAGGTATTAATTACATTTTAAAAGATGAAGCTCTGAGAGGTAGTAATTTGCTCCAGGTAACCAATTACTATTACACAGGATCCAGTCTTTTTCTGCTGCTCTACACTGTCTCTGCTTCTTGGTTTCTTATCCTCCACCAATTGATTAATTGATTTTTGCATAAATATATAAAATCAAGTAGATTGTATTTTTACCTCTGTATTTCTAATCCCCTCCTATTAAAGTACATATAATGTATTCTTTCAACTTACAGAGTGCTTCAAGTACTGTTCACCTATGTGATGAGAAGAAAATGGAATTATCCCTGAACATATCTGTAAATCATGGTCCACAAGAGGTAAATTTAATAAATACACACACACATGCACACACACCAAACTCAAAATTTGGGAAGAATATGACAAAAAATTCAGTCTAACACCTTCTTTATAGGTGGAAAACTAAAGCCTGGGTAGTATGTAGTATTTGTTAGGTAGTCCATGTAATCTACAACTTTAAATCCAGCTCTCATAATTTTCAGTTCATTGTTCATCACATCAAATAACAATAATTGATTCTTAGTTTGGCATTAAGTGCTGTGGCTGAATGATGTTCCTGAAATACCATTGATTACAGTTCTAGTAATATATTTATGCCATGTGGTTCTTACCTTTCTAATAATTAATGAGGAAAAAGCCATTTCTGTTGCTTTCCAAGAAATTTCTTAAGTAGCATTCATTCAAACTTGTTTCATATTAGTCATTTCTTTTAAGAATATGTATTTTCACTTTACAGATTCAGAAAAGTAATAATTCCTTCAGAAGAACCACAAAGCATAATACGTAGTGTTTGAATCATTTTTATATACACTGTCTCATTTGATCCTGTGGTCCACACATGTGCATTTAAAATAGATAGTACAAATATTACAATAATAAACCTTTGTTGAAAGTTAGTAATTCTGTGACAAAACTGGAAGATAATTCAAGTTCTCCATTGCTTTTTCCATGGCCTCCCATCCTTAGGGCTCTGAGAACAGGCATTTGCTCTAAATCTGTGGTTTTAAATTTCTCATTGACTATTCAAGCCACTGGACAGAACTTTTAAGATCATGTAGAAAAAAAAACTGAAAAATGATATTTCTGTCTATAGCCATACCACCCTGAACATGCCCAATCTTATCTGAAAAATGATATTTCTAACAGTTATTGTCTTATCTCCCTATTTGAGTTGATGAGTTTATTTTTGTTGGTTGTCATGTGTATGTAGGTAGTTCTTTAATTTGTGAGAGTTTTGAGTCATTTGTAATAAGTCAAAAGCAAGTACTTAAAAACTAAAGCTGTGTTGCTTCTGAAATGATTTTTTTTAACCTGTATGTTTCCTAAGTCTATTTATTTTATCTGTATTTACTTAGGAGTCATGTGGATCCTCTCAGCTCTATAGAAGTGGTGCTTCTCCTGGAACCTCAAGGTCCCTGTCAGCTCCCCAGGACAGTGACTTTGTATCTAGTAAGTTAGTTTTCCAATCATTATTGATCTCCAAGGTTTCTGTTTTCTTTCAAGATCGTATTCTTGGCAACCATTGATGGTTTGTGTTGAACGTGTCTTTGATTAGCATTTGTGACTCTTTTTGAAAGATGTGAAAATAGGAGTGGGACATTCAACAAACACATTTAAGTATTAGACACTATGGAAAGACAAAGGTAAAATGCTATGAGAAAGGAAAAATATTTCTAAATAAGTGTAGTATGAGATATAAAAGTATTTTAAGAGAGATGTGGTTTGGAGCTTTGGTCATACAGTGTAGGAGAATTATTCTTCACAAAGTACTGGCACAACAGCTTGTTTTACAGATTCAGAACCCTCAGGATAACAGAGCTAGTCGCTGGCAAATCCAAGACCTGAAGCCAGGAGTTTTGCTAAATACTCTCATGTCACTATACTACACCGTGTTGGCATCAAGCCTTCTGGCTGAAGGCTGGACCTGTAGTTATAAAGGGTAAGAATTCTAGGCAAATAGAACAGTACATGGGAAAGAAAAAAGCAAGAAGCCATAGAGAACAATGAAGGGGGTGAATGAATGAAAGACAATAAAAAATAAGTAGGGTAGAGTTGTCATGAATTCTAATACTCAGCCAAGTATTTGAGCTTTGTTTTCACTTCATCGGGAAATGACTCTTGAAACATTCTGTGATATGATAAAATTGTTAGCTTTAGGACAGTACATTCTGGCTGGAAGAGGTAGGGTGTTTTGAAAGGAAAAGCAGACTCTAGGTGAGGAGACCAGGTAGTAAGAGTAAGAAATTGTAAGAACTGATGCAGAGTAAAAGCAGGGAGGGGTGGCATGAGGAGATTATAGGGGACTCACTGATAAGACTTTGTCACTTTTCGCTGAAGGAGTTAAAAGAGTGAAAACAGGTTTTACCATTAAGATGAATAATGACTTAAGTTTTTATTTTTTTTTTTTTAATTTGAGCTTCTACTAGTGCAATAGAGGTGATACCCAGCGGGCTGTTGAAAATGCAGGGCAGAATTTTCATGAAGGCAGAAAACTTACACGGATTTGCAAATAGAAGTGACAATTGAGACTCTGAAATTGGAAACAATGCCAGTGAAGGAAATAGAAGACACACATCATAAACAGATTAAGAGGATACATTTAAAGTGCAGGAGGAGGAAGACACAGAAAAATACAGGACTTTGTTAAGAAGTGAACTTCCATGATTTATACACATAGGACAGACAAGCACAGACAAAAGTACAGTGAAAATATTCGACATAAATCTTTCCTTGCTCTAAAAAAATATTTACTTGGAGAATTAGTTTCTGAAGCAGCTTTGATAGTGAAAAAGTAAAGGCATTACAGCCTTCCATATGACCCAAATGTTGATATTTTAGCTGATAGAGATACCTAAGGAATATTCTGCCCTGAATGAAGATGTTATGTTTTACAGGAAAAACACAAGACTATTCTGTGAAGCTGCATCACTGCCCAGTAAATCACAGTTGGGATAGTACTGTTTCTGCATCTCAAAAGGCAACCTTCTGTGATCACAAAACCTCCCCATGTTCTTTAGTAATAATAAATTCACTCTTGACTGAGGGAAATTCAGGTAAGTATTTACTGTAAGAAAACATTGTAAATGGTGCCATTTACTTCACAAAGACATATTTAGTAGATTTGCCGTACAACAAGATTTGTCTTTATTTCTTCAGTAAGATAGTATACCTGGGCCGGCGCCGCAGCTCAGTAGGCTAATCCTCCGCCTAGCGGTGCTGGCACACCGGGTTCTAGTCCCAGTTAGGGCGCCGGATTCTGTCCCGGTTGCCCCTCTTCCAGGCCAGCTCTCTGCTATGGCCCAGGAGTGTAGTGGAGGATGGCCCAAGGCCTTGGGCCCTACACCCCATGGGAGACCAGGAGAAGCACCTGGCTCCTGCCTTCGGATCAGCGTGGTACGCCAGCCACAGCAGCCATTGGAGGGTGAACCAACGGCAAAGGAAGGCCTTTCTCTCTGTCTCTCTCTCTCTCTCACCAGTCCAATCCCAGAAGATAGGAATATTAATATGCAAAATATAATAGACTAAAGTGGCATTCCATGAACATTTAACTTAGGAGAGATTTAATATATCACTGAAGTTCTTTTTGCTGACAACAACTATACAAGTATGCATTATATTTGAAACAAACAAACCAAAACCTGAAAAGTAAAATAGTTTTTGCTCCATTGCTTACAGTATATAAAAAGGCAGTACTTGGGGCTGGTATTGTGGCATATTGGGTAAAACTGCCACCTGGTATGCTTGCACCCTTTATGTGTGCCGGCTTACATCTAGATGTTCCACTTCTGATCCAGCTCCCCACTAAATGGCCTGGGGAAAGCAGCAGAAGATGGCTCAAGTGCTTGAGCCCCTGCTACTCATGTGGAAGATGACCTGGAAAAAGCCCCTGACTCCAGGCTTCGGTCTAGCCTAGCCCCAGCCCTTGGAACCATATGGGGAGTGAATCAATGGGTGGAAGATCTCTGCCTGTCTGTCGCTGTCTCTTTGTGTCTCTCAAATAAATAAATCTTTAATAATAATAAAAAATGCAATGCTTTTTCTGGAAGATGAAGGTGATATCCTGAACCTCTGAATGTTTCCTGAAAAATAATAGCAGCACCCAAACCACTAATGTTCCATGTTGGCACAATCATGGGAAAATTTGGTTTATGCCATATTTATTTTTCATGTGATTTTACTCATTGCTGTAATCTGTCATCACCATGTTAACTGTTCATCCATTCCTTGTCTACAGAACGTGTGCAACCTGGTATAGCCCAACAGTGGATCCAGAGCAAAAGGGAAGAAATTGTAAACCAAATGACTGAAGCGTGCCTTAATCAGTCACTAGATGCCCTTCTATCCAGGGACTTGATCATGAAGGAGGACTATGAACTTATTAGTACCAAACCCACAAGGACCTCAAAAGTCAGACAATTACTGGACACTTCTGACATCCAAGGAGAAGAATTTGCCAAAGTTATAGTTCAAAAGTTGAAAGACAACAAACAAATGGGTCTTCAGCCATACCCAGAAACACCTGTGGTTTCTAAATCATCTTTAAATTTACTTCCAAATAAAAGCTTATAAATGAGTCTTTTTCAAGAAGAAAAGTCAGTTTATAAAAGGATATTTATCTCTGTTGCCTTGATACTGTTTTTTTATTAAATCCAGTAGAGTATTAGTGCTTTACTGAAGATTCTTCCTTAAGTAAATATTAGTCTCCTTCCATGACATTGCAGTATTTTTTAAATTAATATAAGTAAAAAGTTTGCATTTTGCTACACAGTTCACTTTTTATGTCTTTCATTAATTATAATTTTTTAAGTGGAATAATTGTATTCTAGTACATAACCATGCCTTAAGATATCACATGCTTCTACTGGAAGGCATTTTCACATTCACTTTCTTTGCAGATTATTTATTACTTGTCTAAGATGCAGTTTGACTTTATGAATTATGTGCCCTTTCCAGAGATAATACAGTGTTCATATTTTATAACGCCAGGATTAAGTCCTCTAAGAGCTCATTTATTTTAAATTCCTGTATTTAGATTACACTTTAAAATTTTGTTTATGGATTATTGTTTAACAGTTGTTTCAGAGACTATGAAGTACATAAAGAAAAAATTAGCCTTTTAACACCAGCTATCTGCCCCCATTTTTAATCTCAGTCTTCCCACTGTCATCAACAAAGCTAATCAAAATTACTAGCCTATGTGTACGAGTGTATCCTCTGGCACCCTTCTTCCTGCTGATATTTAAAATATATACTCATCTGGGAGAAGACCATTCCTTAACATTATCACTATTGTTATATCATAATGCAACCTGCTTTTTGCAGTTAATAGCGTAGCTTGTACAGCCCTCCAGATCAGATAGCGATCTAAGGCATTCTTTTTCGTTGTTACATAATTTCCATGCTGCATTTTTTATTTTATTTTCTTGATCATACCAAGGTTACCTCAAACAATAAAGGTACAATGGGAGCTCTTTTCTTTTTTTTCTTTTTTGTTTATAGGTTCTATTACTTAATAAAAATCTACAAGGAATAGCCTTTTTCAGAGAAATGTTTAGCAATCAGCAAAAAGAGATATATAATAATTTGAAAGTATAAAACTTTCAAGAATAACATGTTGAGGAGATTTGATGGAACTGAAGCAATTAGACATTTTATTAAAATTATAAAGCATTTGAATCTTCAATTTGGAGTTTGACATTAGCCCCGGTACCTCTTTTTGTTTGGGAAATGCAGAAGTTTATAAGGAAAAATCAAAACTACACACAGGGGTTTCCTAATAAGCTTTAGAATATTTTGAGATAAAGATTTAACTTGGGATGTAAGTAGAAAAAATATTTTCTAGGTTTTCCCTTTTCACTACACATATTCTTTAAAAATTCTTTTGAATATTAATGGCTTCAAATTTAATTTTATATTGACAATGTATATTTGACTTAATAAAATCGAGAACTTTACCCTGCTTTTTGTATTTTCTACAAAGAAAAAACTCATAGTCTGTATGCTTCTGGCCACATGCTTCCAGCCATTTTCATAATTTAAGACAGATGCGTGGTTACCTATCGCCACAGCTCTGCAAACTTTTCTCTCTTTTTTTTTTTTTATTTTTACTTAAAAGAGTTACACAGAGAGAGAAGGAAAGGCAGAAAGAAGTCTCCCATCTGCTGGTTCACTCCCCAATTGGCCGCAACGGCCGGAGATGCCCGATCCGAAGCCAGGAGCCAGGAGCTTCTTCCAGGTCTCCCATGCAGGTGCCCGGGCCCAAGGACTTGAGCCATCTTCTACTGCTTATCTAGGCCATAGCAGAGAGCTGAATTGGATATGGAGCAGCCAAGATTCGAACTGGTGCCTATATGAGATGCCAGCGCTGCAGGCAGCGGTTCTACCTGCTATGCCACAGCACCGGCCCCTGCAAACTTTTCTACAAGAATGACAACGTACTGATGAGTAAGAAGAGAGTGTAAAGGACCAAGATGAATATACAATGAGCCTTCATCCCTTCAGAGATGTCACAGTCTCAGTCGTGTATTTTCATTATGACATACATGCAACAACAATGATGTTTAGAAGAAGCTGAGACAAAATGTGCTACATCGGACCAGCTGGTATTGAACAGAGCCTTGCACTTTCTTCATATTTCTTTAATGAATAGTTCAGTAGGAGGAAAGCATGAGAAGAAATTTCCTTTAAATCACATTTCCCTAAGTGTAGTGCAGGAACAGCTACTGTTAATGTGATTATGAGTGTACCTCAGAAAGTGTGTAAAATGGAATTAAAAAATAAGATCGTGACATCCATGCACATGAAAGGTCTTCAAGAATTTATTTAAAATGCTTGTTATGAAAAAAATGCTTATTATGAAGAAACTGCATGGATTTCAAAAACAAATTTTGCAGCAAACTTTTAATTTCATTTTTCTATGAACTTTTTGAAGTACTTGTATTTTAGGGAATGTGCAGATGGCACTGAGTAAATATTTGAGTCACGTAGGAAAGACATTCTTGTCAGCTGTTTTTTCAAGCCTTCTAATTGAGTAAAGGTGCTTTTTAAATTCTTGTTAGCAAAAACTAGGCTCAGACTCAGACCTTCACAAACAATAGCAGAATTTAAAATTAAAATCTAAAATTTATTTTGAAAAATGCCTTTATATGATAAATGGTACTGTTTCTATTTATAACGCATAGGTTTTATAACATTCAAGTTGGAGAATCTGAAGTACTGTTTAGTAAATAAGTAGTTCATGAGTATGTCAATATTCATGGGAGAAATACAGACTAAGATTAAATCATTCTAGGAAAGGATCTAATAATTTTTTAACTATATAGCACTAGAAAATGCTAGGTATGGCCTTTTTAATTTTATTTAAGTTATACAGGTTTCATATATTTCGTATATACAGATTTAGGAACATAGCGACACTTCACCCCGTACCCTCCCTCCTGCCCATGCTCCAACCCTTCCTCCTCTTCCCTCTCACATTCCCACTCTTAATTTTTACTAAGATCTATTTTCAGTTTACTTAATTATTGTACAGTTAACCCTACATGAAGTAAAAGAGTTCAACAAGTAGTATGAAGAAAGAAAAAACACTTCCTCAATTGAAGAGACAAGGGCTGTAAACAATCATTGAATCTCAAAATGTCTATTTCACTCAATATGGCCTTCTTTATAGTGTAATTTAAGACAGTGCTACCCGGAAATGTAGTCCACAGATCAGCTGCATTAGCATCACCTACAACTAATTGGAAAGGCACTTTTATGGCCCCTATCTCAACCTACTGGATCGATCATGGAGGGTGAGGTCCAGGAATCTCTTTCAATCTTTCAAGAAATTTTTAACCATGTAAAGTTCAAGAGCCTTTGTTTTTAAAAATACTATAGAATTCTGCATAAAATAATTTTTCTTGAGGTTCATAATCTATTTTCCTTATGTTTGGGTACCATACTTGTCTTTAGAATGTACAGTCTCAATTATGGTTTGATTTAGAAAATTTTACTTTTGTTTAAAATTGCCCCAAACAACTTTAGTTATGTTTTGCATTTTGGAAAGGTTGCAATAATCAAACTAATAATAATAATCAAACTAATAGAAGTGTCACTATGTTCCTAAGCTAAGTTGTTTAAGTTGTCTCAGAAGAGACAAACACTTGAATTATGATAGCAAGAGGGTTGAGCTGATGTAGGAGGAATAATGTAAGAAGAATAAAAGAAGACCCAATTGTGCTGAAAGTTACACGAAAGAATTGGCAAAGCTATGAACACATGGTGTAGGCAGCAGCAATTTCATGCAGTGGAGCTGGTTTTTGTTTCCCTCTAGTCCTAAGCCCACCTAATTTGCCCACCCTAATTTGTGAAGAAAAAGTATGGCCAGTTGGGATAGAAGGAAAGTCAGTGAACTTTCACGAAGAGCCATATTCACAAACACCTTGGTTTCAGAAATTTGTTTCTTCTCTAAAATCACACCTCTCATCTCCCCAAAGACCAGTTCTCAAATTGCCTCCTGCTTCATCTCTACTATGTCACTTATCTTCCATGTCACACATCCAGGTTTCCATTAAAGAGTAAAATTGCTTTGCTTGACCTGTTTATCCTGTCCAGTCTCTTTCTTGAAAATTATTCTACATTGCTTCTATTTGTTACTAGCACTTTCTTTCTATGCCATAGAATTAATAAATAAGTTAAAAGAAGCAATTTATGTGTCTGATGCCTCAATTTCCTCTATGATAAAGACGTTAATAGGCCGGCGCCGCGGCTCACTAGGCTAATCCTCCCCACCTTGCAGCGCCGGCACACCGGGTTCTAGTCCCGGTTGGGGCGCCAGATTCTGTCCCGGTTGCCCCTCTTCCAGGCCATCTCTCTGCTATGGCCAGGGAGTGCAGTGGAGGATGGCCCAAGTCCTTGGGCCCTACACCCCATGGGAGACCAGGATAAGTACCTGGCTCCTGCCATCGGATCAGCGCGGTGCGCGGGCCGCAGCGCAAGGGCCTTGGCAGCCATTGGAGGGTGAACCAACGAAAAAGGAAGACCTTTCTCTCTGTATCTCTCTCTCACTGTCCACTCTGCCTGTCAAACACTGATATACCATACAGGTGACGTAATAGACACCTATCTCCTGGTGGAACACTGAAGGGAAAACTTTACCTCTTCAGGCAACTTATTTCATTTTCAGACAGCAGCATTTTTACTTTCTTTTTTTTTAACTTTTATTTAATAAATATAAATTTCCAAAGTACAATTCTTGGATTATAGCGGCTTTTTCCCCCCATGACCTCCCTCCCACCAGCAATGCTCCCATCTCCCACTCTCTCTCCCATCCCATTCACATCAAGATTCATTTTCAATTATCTTTATATACAGAAGATCAATTTAGTATATACTAAGTAAAGATTTCAACATTTGAACCCACACAGAAACACAAAATATAAAGTACTGTTTGAGTACTAGTTATACATTAATTCACATAGTACGATACATTAAGGACAGAGATCCTACATGGGGAGTAAGTGTACAGTGACTCCTTTTGTTGATTTAACAATTGACACTCTTGTTTATGGCGTCAATAATCACCCGAGGCTCTTGTCATGAGCTGCCAAGGCCATGGAAGCCTCTTGAGTTCGTCAACTCCGATCTTATTTAGACAAGGCCATAGTCAAAGTGGAAGTTCTCTCCTCCTTTCAGAGAAAGGTACCTCCTTCTTTGATGGCCCGTTCATTCCGCTGGGAGAAATCCGGTCATTTGCAACAATTGGAGGAATCTGGAAAACATCATGCTGAGTGAAATAAGCCAGTCCCAAAGGGACAAATATCGTATGTTCTTGATCGGTGACAACTAACTGAGCACCAAAAAAGAAACCTCTTGAAGTGAAATGGGCACTATGAGAAACAATGACTTGATCAGCCCTTGTCCTGACTGTTGAGGAACAACCTAATACTTTACTCCTTTTAGTATTTTTTTGTTTTACTTAATACCATTGGTTGAACTCTTTAATTAACACACAATTATTCTTAGGTGTTTAAATTTAACTGAAAAGTGATCCCTGTTAAATATAACAGTGGGAATAAGAGAGGGAGGAGATGTACAGTTTGGCACATGCTCAATCGGACTTATCCCTAATGGTAGAGTTAGAAACATGCCAGGGGATTCCAATTCAATCCAATTCAAGGTGGCATGTACCAATGCCATCTCACTAGTCAAAGTGATCAGTTTCAGTTCACAATCGATCATAATGATAGGATTAAGTGTCAAAGGGATCACATAAACAAGACTAGTGTCTGCTAATAATAACTGATAGAATTAAAAAGGAGAGAATGATCCAACATGGGAAGCAGGATACACAGCAGACTCATAGAATGGCAGATGTCCTAAACAGCACTCTGGTCTCACAATCAGCCCTTAAGGCATTCAGATCTGGCAATAAAGCCTATGAGAGTATTTCAGGCATGGAAAGCCAAGACACTGTGGCATTTTTACTTTCTTACACTGATTTAAAAATCTATTTCTCTGGAATATGTATTTGGTCCTGGTTCCAAATCTTCGAAGAGTACATAGGGCAAATCTAATCCCTCAAGCATAACATAGCTCTTTATGTATTTACAGGCAACTCTTGTGCTAATGGTTCCAGAAAAGTCTCTACCCTTTTTAAGGTTAATAGACAGGGTCCAAATTCCTCTTAATATACTGTATCTATAACTCAACATGATGCTCCTAATTAGGTCTGACAAGAACAGCTGAGGAGTCCTTTGCACTTAAATAATATACTGAATGTGCATTTTTCAGTGATTAGGTTGAATTAATATTTACCAGCTAAAAAATCCTTTGTCTTTTACAGCTGCATTATTTCTCCTTATTTCTCCTTTTTTGCACTTGAGGATTTCCATTGGGTTTTTAGGTGAGTATGCAATTCTTTGCCTTTATTTTTCTTAAATTATTTTTTTCTAAATGAATCCTTAGTTCTAAT